AGGACCCAGTAATTTGGTGATTGTTGATTGTTGCTGTATATCATATTTATTTTTCATAATTGTTTTGTACATAAATCAGGCTGCTTTAGTTTTCTTGTTTTACATTTGTCATTTCGTGGTCGTTTATATCTTACTATGCAGTATAGGTTTTGCTAATTGTTGCAGGCTGCATGGAGGAATATTCTTTTCAGAATAATAATTTCAATTATGGTGTCCAACAGTGGTGTATGGTTTAATTCCACTATGTACTAGAGTTTGAATATGCCATATTAGCGCTTTTAGTTGCATCAGCTGGTGCCACTATGCACAATTATCAAATCATACCTGAAACTATCTGAAATGGTGTAATTTTTTTGTATACTAGTATTACAAGAAATGCTGATGTTGTTATAATGGCCTAGCAATGATGCAACATATATATTGAAGGCTGTACGGTTGCCTGTAATTGCTTACATCCACTTCATTTGAATTTTGGTGGATAGTTGTCTCATTGGCAATCATACCACATCTCCTTATTTTATAATAATTACACATGTCTAATCTATAATAAGCTATTAACACAACGTAATGTTTTGCCTATTTGTTATTTTGATAATGCAAATGTTACACTTAAAATAGTAATACTTTAACATGTAAGTGATATTCAAAGTCAATGAACCATGACTGAAGGTACAAGGCTAAACAATCTCTATGGAAAAGAAAGGTGCCAATGCTTGTTCAACTGCAAACCAAATACCATTGACTTTTCATAAGTCGTTCGATTCCCTTTAAACAAACCTTAACACAAATTCAATTTCTAAGTCAATAAACCATAATTATGAGGGGGTGAGGTTATATTATATCCATGGAAATGAAACTTTTGAATACCAATACGTTCGCATACCAAATAGCTTTGACTTAAGATTACTGGTAATTTTAAACTGACATAATCATAATAATCACAAACTCATTCATGTAAACTATGTAAAAGTTTCAAAGTCAATAGATCATGCATATGACTGAGGGGTGAGGACCAAATATCCTCTATGGAAATGAGACGTACTAATGCTTCTACACCTACATGCCAATTATCATTGACCTACCACTATTGGTTTCCCTAATACTAACCTAATCGAAAACTAATAAATGAAATTTCAAAGTAACAAAATTTTCAAGTAAAAAAAGCATGATTGAGGGGGCGGGGCCAAATAATCTCAATGGAAATTAGAAATGAAAAAGTTTATACAACTGCACACCAAATATCATTGACCTACCACTAGTGGTTCCCCCTAAACTGACCTAACCACAAACATATACATGTAAACTATGCAAAATTTCAAAGTCAATAGACCATGACTAAGGGGGTGGGGCCAAATCTTCTCTATGGTAATGAGATGTGCCTATGCTAACACAACTACTTACAAAATGTCATTGACCTACCAGAAACCAGACCTTATCACAAAATCACAAACTAATACATTGTTGATTCCGCCAAAACAGCATGCCTATATATATATATATGTCTCACATTTTGACACTGTCAAGGCAAGACAAAAATTGCAACAAATTTAATACAAATATTTTGTCCATCTTTTTTTAATATTCTTCATTTCTTAGATATATCAATGCTGCGTTCACACATAATTCGAATTCGATTCACATTATTAACTGATTTGAATTAGTTTAATACGCATTCGAAACGTTTAATGTCCAAAAGTAAATTCTACTTGGAATTGCAATACACGTCAAAATCGCTTTACTGTGAATGCAGGGGTTAAAATTAACATTTGGTACTGGACAGTCCAAGACTTTTGACACTCCAAACTGAAAGGTCCACAACCTAAATTCCAGGTCCTGCTTTTACTTGAAATAGTTCATAACTCAGTAAGATACTTTAATGTGCTTTTGGTGTTAAGTTAGCTTGTTTCATTGTCAGTGTCACTGTCGTTTAACATGTTTAATAATAAATGTAATTGTCTTATATATTAATTTATGAATTCAAATAATCTTTTTTTTTTGTATTAGGAAGGCTGAGGGAGGCTGAGGGTATCACTGTGGGTGGGTGTGTTGTCTCAACAATTGATTATTTATTACTAATTATACCATTATATTAAACAGTTCAAATTCAAAACTGTTTAAGTGTATCATATCTAGTTGCACTATATATTATATTAGCTAGTTCCTCTGTGAAAATAAAGTAAGAAACTTCCAGATTTTTATAGGCCCTTCAAAATTGAGAAGAAATTACCTCATGGAATTGTAGTAATATGTTTAAACAATAAAAACATCTATATGTAATACCAATATTTATTAATGATAAGGAAAATACTGTCACATTTTATTGGTTTTTGACATGAAAATTTGTGAACTAAAAGTAATTTTGAGTTTCTGTATAAAATATTTCCTGCTTTTTCTTTCTTTTCAATATATCTTTGGTTTTCAATTCTAGAGTTTATATTTCATCATGATAGATGTATTTTGTCTCATGCCTGGAATTATTATATTTTTATTGTATTTGATCGGCAAACCCGGAATTACCCTTATCCGCCCCCGGAATTAGATCCGGTATTATAATTGTCTTCATTTCCGGTTTATGGCATCCATTGTTTTTCAATGTTGTCAGATACGATTTACTCGGATTTACACATAACATGTTGGCGATTTTCGGTATAAAGCTAGCGGTTGAACAAAATGATTATTATCAGAAATCACCAAATTTAAAACGTCCTTGATTTACGTTTTGTCGACGAAGTTAAAATTACCGCCAACTGAGACTTCAACTCCGTGTCATATTAGTCGCAGCCGTTATACAATATTCCTGCGCTTTGTGCCATTTGGCAACTGTAAACGACTTGTAATTAGAGATTTTCGGCGATGAAATAATTCATGCAATTGTTCTTTGACATCTTGGCCAAAAGCACAGGGGATAATAAACTACATAAGGATTTCTATTGAGCACTACTTCCTATGTGCAATTTCAAAACTTTTGGGTGGTTCGACGATCATTTAAGGTTTTTCTGGTCATATTTTTTGTATTCCAGAATTAAAAGTATGAAAAAAGTGTTCAATTAGTTATAAATAACATAATAGCCAGCCAGATAATAACAATGGCACATATTTCAGCATTTATTGGGTAGAACACAAATCTAGGGTGCTCGCATAAAGCAGCTTAACTGCTTAATAAAATAAGTGTAAGAAAAAAAATTGTACCAGAAAAAAAAATTTAATCATAATTTCCTGTCAATATGCACATCTACATAGTATGTCCTTATTATCTACACAGTTTCATGAAATTCTGTTGTGTGGTTTGAGAGGAGTTGCGATGACAAAAGGTTGCAGTAGTATATTGGGCAAATAAGTTCAAAGGGGCTTAACTCCTGGAAAAAAAATTGAATCGTAATTTCCTGTCAATATGCACATCTACATAGTATGTCCTTATTATCTACACAGTTTCATGAAATTCTGTTGTGTGGTTTGAGAGGAGTTGCGATGGCAAAAGGTTGCAGTAGTATATTGGGCAAATAAGTTCAAAGGGGTGTAACTCCTGGAAAAAAAATTGAATCGTAATTTCCTGTCGATATGCACATCTACGTAGTATGTCCTTATTATCTGAAAAGGTTTCATGAAATTCTGTTGTGTGGTTTGAGAGGAGTTGCGATGACAAAAGGTTGCAGTAGTATATTGGGCAAATAAGTTCAAAGGGGCGTAACTCCTGGAAAAAAAATTGAATCGTAATTTCCTGTCGATATGCACATCTACGTAGTATGTCCTTATTATCTGAAAAGGTTTCATGAAATTCTGTTGTGTGGTTTGAGAGGGGTTGCGATGACAAACTGTTGCAGTAGTACATTAAAGTAAATAAGTTCAAAGGGGCGTAACTCCTAGAAAAAAAATTGAATCGCAATTTCCTGTCGATATGCACAACTACATAGTATGTCCTTATTATCTAAAAAGGTTTCGTGAAATTCTGTTTTGTGGTTTGAGAGGAGTTGCGATGACAAGAAACAGGACTGACGGACGGACGGGTCAAAAACATTATACCCTCCGTAACCCGTTGCGTGGGGTATAATAATATTCAAGATAATAACCAAAAGCTGCAAAATTTTCTTAAAATTACCAATTCAGGGGAGCAACCCAACAATGTGTTGCCTGATTGGTCTGAAAATTTCAGGGCAGATAGATCTTGACTTGATAAACAATTTTACCCAATGTCAGATTTGCTCTAAATGCTTTGGTTTCAGAGATATGAGCCAAAAACTGCATTTTACCCTATGTACTATTTTTTAGCCATGTCGGCAATCTTGGTTCGTGGGCGGGGTCATCAGACACATTTTTTAAACTAGATACCCTAATGATGATTGTGGACAAGTTTGGTTAAATTTGTCTTAGTAGTTTCATCAGAGAAGATTTTTGTAAAAGATTACAAAAATTTACGAAAAATGGTTAAAAATTGACTATAAAGGGCAATAACTCCTTAAGGGGTCAACTGACCATTTTGGTCAAGTTGACTTAATTGTAGATCCTACTTTGCTGAACATTATTGCTGTTTACAGTTTATCTCTATCTATAATAATATTCAAGATAATAACCAAAAACGGCAAAATTTCCTTAAAATTACCAATTCAGGGGCAGCAACCCAACAACGGGTTGTCAGATTCATCTGAAAATTTAAAAGCAGATAGATCTTGACCTGATAAACAATTTTACCCCATGCCAGATTTGCTCTAAATGCTTTGGTTTCAGAGATATAAGCCAAAATCTACATTTTACCCCTATGTTCTATTTTTAGCCATGGCGGCCATCTTGGTTGGTTGGCTGGGTCATCCAACACATTTTTTAAACTAGATACCCCAATGATGATTGTGGCCAAGTAGTTTCAGAGGAGAAGATTTTTGTAAAAGTTAACGACGACGGACGTCGACGACGACGGACGACGGACGCCAAGTGATGTGAAAAGCTCATTTGGCCCTGTGGGCCAGGTGAGCTAATAAAGAGAGATACAATTTAATGAAGAAGCCTACCTTGTAAGTTAGTATCTTCAGTTGTGAGTACAGCTGTATCACCATTACTTCTTGGGAACGAGGTCTCTGTGTATATGTAGTAACTTCCACTGGCTGCACTTGTTGGTCCTGTACTGCTACTTCGGGTAGTACCCTACAAAATTCATTAGTTCATTAATCTTATTCTTTATCATTAAAGCCCATAACATCAGCTCCAGAAAAAATTAATACATCATGTTGTTGTATCATTTTCTTTAAACTAAAGAATAAACTCTCCATATATTTTCTGGAAGACTGTAAATTCAGAAATTATTGTGAAGTTTTTATTAATCAGAAAAATGTGACTACCTAAGTATCACAAATATGAGGTGGTGGACAGGGGGGCGGGAACCCAGGAGTAAGGGGGTGGGAAGTGGGAGTAAGGGGGGTGGGAAGCGGGAGTAAGGGGGACAGGAAGCGGGAGATAGGGGTGCGGGAACTGGGAGTAAAGGGGGCAGGATTTTTTTTTTTTAAATGAGAATGAAACTAAACAGATATAAATAGCCTATATGGACCTAAATGATTATAAGACCTTCTAAGGTGGTCAACTCCAACCATTTCAAATATTATATTGGTGGCTAAAATGATCTAAAATCGTCCGGTGTCGGATTTCGACAGAATTCGTTTCCATTTTCTATTTAGATAAATACAGATCTAGAGCACCTGAGATCACCCCCAGTTTTTGGTGGGTTTCATCTTTAGTTTTCTATTTTGTGTTGTGTTGATTGTCTGTATGTTTTTTTCTTTTTTTGCCATGACCTTGTCAGTTTAATTTTGACTTGTGAGTTAGAATGTATCTTTGGTATCCTTCACCTCTCTTATACAGATATTTCCGTCATGGCTCCAATTGTCGCAGGGATACACATTTACCAAAAAAATGAGAGGACTGCACGTGATAATTATTACATCTATCTCATTGCAACAGGGAACACTTTCAGAAACTCTTCAAGCATGGGCATAAATTATCAGATCGTTGTTCTAAGTATGGCATATCGTTTTATGAGCTTGAAGTTTGTGTATTTAAAGAAAAGGTTCAACGTATGATTATTGTTACCAGTGAAGAACGTTGGTGCCACGCTTACAAGCAGCTTGTCAAAGAGGAAGCTGATTTGCATCGCATTATTTACAAAGCAAACCATATCACAAAAACAGTCTGGAAGAAATATTTAAGCTGACCTTAGCTACTAGCCCTAACGTCCACTTTTGATAATTTTTATCAAGATGATGTTTAACCAAACCACAGATTTGTGTGTGCCTGTCCAAAGTTGAAACCAAAACCAGGTGCTACAAATAAAAACTTAGAACAAGATGGTTTTCCAAGATCAAAGGAGTAAAATCGCCAAAAAATTGTAAGGGGTTCCACGGAACCCTGTGTCTCGCCTGTGATTGTGTATCATGTCAAAAAATTTAATACCAGACTGTCTGTAAATGTTAACTGTAAAAAACGAAGCTCATCTATCAGAAAAATATTAAAAATGAAAAAAAAAAAATTTCAAAGGATTGCTTCAGACATTATCTCTTAATCATTAAAAAGCTCTTGCCAAAGTTTCATAAAACTCTATGAAGCCAGGTTTGAAGAAGTAATTGACATGTAACAAACTTTAACCCCAGACTGAACATTTATCAGTAAAATATGGAAAAACAAAAATAAATATTTTCAAAATTTTGCTCGTTTTACTATCCACCCAAGTTCAAATGAAGTGGATGTAAGCAATTATAGTCAACCGTACGGCGTTCAACAATGAGAAAAACCCATATCTTACAGTCGGCTATATAAGTCCATTTATTAGTAAAATACAGAAAAATGGAAATAACTGTATTATAACAAAAACAATGTAGGACTTTCTTTGAGATGTCATTGAGTCTGGGAGACACAATTGATGCCCCAGCAGATGCAAAGTGTTATTTTAAAATAACTATAACATTTAACCGCTTACAGCTCAAAAATGACAAAGTTCAACTATCTCTCCAAAAATGCTCATCTTATGCAAGTAAATACTCCAAAAAATGACAAAGTTCAACTATCTCCCAAAAGAGCAAATCAAAATCAAAATCAAAACCCTGTCCACATGCACACTTTCAATATATGTACAAACAGACAGCAAAGTGAAAACTTCCTACGATTCAAACTGTAGGAGGAGTTAGACAGAATAACTATATACCCATAATGGGACAGACAGAAGGACAGACGGACGGACAGGGGTAAAACAATATGCCCCCCAAACTTTCAGTTGCCGGGGTATAAAAATGCACTAACGCATCACCACTAGTGACTACAGAAACAAACATTCAGAGGTCACAACAAGTATTTCAACATGTGGAACTCACATCCAGCAAGGAACTCTGAAAGGCCCCAAGAAAAAGGGTAATTAATCCATGGTTACAGAACAATGTCAATTCGTCATATAGTGATGTAAAACTTTTAATGACACATGATAAATGACGGTTCTTGACTTTGGACGGGAGCATAAAAAACATTATGCCTAAGAAAGTGACAACTGTCATATTGCGGAATGGGTACAAGCAAGTGGAGGTGGTAGGTTAATCCGGGTCGGTTTGATCATTCCCAACCCATCTACAGGTACTTTTGGTCTGTGATCGCCGTATATTCCTCTGCATTTGCTTGCTTATTTTTAGCTTTCTGTGCACGTTATTTTTTGGTTATTTTGTGTTGTTTGTGGTATTTGTATCTGTTGCCCTTGATTTTAATTGGTTTTACACGTTATTTCCCTTATTCTGACATGAATACTACATTTATAACCAAATTAGGGAGGGAAGTTGGAATATAGGAGAAGGAAGTGGGAGTATAGGGGGAGGGAAGTGGGAGTAAGAGGGGAGGGAAGTGGGAGTAAGGGGGGAGGAAAGTGGGAATTGCTAACCCCCCCTGTCAACCCCCTCAAATATAAGACATCGCATTTTGGTATCTCATTCATATATCTGTATGTAGCTTTTTATTTTTTCTGGAATACTGTAAATTCAGAATTTATTGCGATGTTTTATTAATCAGAAAATGTGATTACATGAGTATTGTGATTATAATTAAGAACTTGCCTTCAGGTATCTTGAAAACTCGCATTTTTGTTCATTCTTTAAAAATCACAATAATAAATACACACAATTATTTCTGAATTAACAGTAGTCCAGTAACATTTTTAGAATGAGCTAGTAAAAGGAGACGAGAGGTATCTGTATTACACAAACTCCACTTGTTTTTTTATCAAAATATTTTTTAGGGTTTAACATTGGCAAAGCACTGATCTTATTATCTCCATTAAAATGAGGGAACAGGGGTATATATTTAAATATGTGAGCTCTGAATCTTTGTTAAAAAAACGGATTAGTCATCAACATAATAACCTCTGATTTTTGGTGGGGTTCGTGTTGCTCAGTCTTTGGTTTCTATGTTGTGTTTTGTGTACTGTTGTTTGTCTGTTTGTCTTTTTCTTTTAGCCATGTCGTTATCAGTTTATTTTTGATTTATGAGTTTGAATGTCCCTTTGGTATTTTTCGCTTCTCTTTTATAATGATGAAATTTTATTACTTTTTGTGAAACACAGACTAGATTTTTATAAGAACTTACAGTACGTCGTGTCCAATCAAATTCATCCTGAGTTGAATCCTGGAAAATACATGGTGCATCAATCTCAAATCCACAGCTGTAGTCATCTGTTACTAAAAATATAAAGACTCTTTTAAAGAAATGTGGAGTTATCATACTCCCACAAAAACATAAAGTCCTTCTGTACAGAAGTACCCAAGACAAGTGGGAAGGAAATATTTTTTGGACCAACAGACCAATGGACCAACAGTCTATGGAAAATTTTACTTGTTATCATATATCTTTCTTTAAATTTGCAATAAGAAAATGAAAACCGATTATCTATTAGCATTTTTTTGTTTTTAACAAGTGCTTGTTTGTTTTATCTATCTTCATACTTCCGGTAATCAGATATGCAAATTTACAGAAAATGGTATGCTCCTCAGATTCACATTTGTTGGAAATTGTATGCTCCTTTATGATGTTTTATGAAAAATGAAAAAACAGGAAAAGATTACATGCGGCCATGTTGTTGAAAAAATTTTCAGGGCCATAGTGTATAGACCCAAGTCCAACCTTCTACCATTCATGATCCCTTTGAAAGTAAATTACAAAGTAATGACTCATGTTTGTACCTTCAGAATTGCGTGTCCTCAATACTCTTCAACTTTGTTCTTTATTTGGCCTTTTTAACTTTTTTGATTTGATCATCACTGATGAGTCTTTTGTAGAGGAAACCCACGTCATGTATACAAAATTTTAATCCTGGTATCTAGGATGAGTTCATTAACATATATGCAATTATTTCACTGAACTAGTACACATTTTTATTAAGGGGCCAGCTGAGGCCCACCTCTGGGTGCAGAATTTTCTCACTGCGTTGAAGACCCATTGGTGGCCTTCGGCTGTTGCTGCTCTTTGCTCGGGTTGTTGTCTCTTTGACATATTTCCCATTTCCATTCTCAATTTTAAATATGAATACTCACCTTGAACATTACAATTATCTCCAGACCAGCCTATCATACAATTACAATTATATCCAGCAGTGCTGCCGTCCTCATTACAGGTACCACCATTGCTACATGGGTTACTAGTACAGGTTAGAGCGGGACCTGCAATAATCAAAGTGCTGACGTACTGTTTGAAAAAAATCGTCCAAATATCAAAGTGCTGAAGAACTGTTTGAAAAAATTGTTCAAATATCAAAGGGATGAATATTGTTTGAGAAAAATAGTCCAAATATCAAAGTGCTGAAGTACTGTTTGAGAAAAATTGTCCAAAATCAAAGTGCTGAAGTACTGTTGAGAAAAATTGTCCAAATATCAAAGTGCTGAAGTACTGTTTGAGAACAATTGTCCAAATATCAAAGTGCTGAAGTACTGTTTGAGAAAAATTGTCCAAAATCAAAGTGCTGAAGTACTGTTGAAAAAATTGTCCAAATATTAAAGTGCTGAAGTACTGTTTAAGAAAAATTGTCCAAATATCAAAGTGCTGAAGTACTGTTTGAGAAAATTGTCTAAATATCAAAGTGCTGAAGTACTGTTTGAGAAAAATTGACCAAATATCAAAGTGCTGAAGTACTGTTTGAGAAAAATTGTCTAAATATCAACGGAATGAATATTGTTTGAGAAAAATTGTCCAAAATCAAAGTGCTAAAGTATTGTTTAAGAAAAATTGTCCAAAATCAAAGTGCTAAAATACTGTTTAAAAAAAATTGTCCAAAATCAAAGTACTACAGTACTGTTTAAGAAAAATTGTTCAAATTTCAAAGGGATGAATATTATTTGAGAAAAATTGTCCAAATATCAAAGTGCTGAAGTACTGTTTGAGAAAAATTGTTTAAAAATTAGAGTGTTAAAGTACTGTTTCGAGAAAATTGTCCAACAATCAAAGGAATGAAGTACTGTTGGTTAAACAGTTGTCAAAGAATCCAACGGCTGAATTGCTGTTGGGTAAAAAAAACTAATCAATATGCTGATGTTTTGTTGCAGGATAACAAAAATATCAATAGTTAAGTCAACATAGATAAAATTTTGTAATTGACACTGAACCTGAAACCTAAAATGTTGAAAAGCCATATTCAAAGTGAACTATTCTCAGCAGACTCTGACATATCAAATACTGTGGATTCATTGTTATTATTTGAATACCAATTTTGCTGGAACTTGTGCGTACGTGTAAACCATGAATTGAAGTATTCAACAAATTACAAATTGTCCGTTAAACTTTTCTTCAATCCATGAAAATTGGTACCCATGAAAATAAATAAATCCACACTATAAACAATTATGTAAAGAATCAATTTTTTTACAAAAACAAAACAATTTGCTGTTATTCGCTTAAGACATGCTGATAAGCAGATTGCACTGTGTCAATCTTGTAGATTGCACTGTGTCCATCATGTTGATGAGCAGATTGCACTGTGTCCATCATGTTGATGAGCAGATTGGATTGTGTCGATTATGTTGATGAGCAGATTGCACTGTGTCCATCGACATGATCCGGTTGTACTGTGTCCATCAACATGATCTGATTGCACGGTGTTCATCATGATAATGAGCAGATTGCACTGTGTCCATCATGTTGATGAGCAGATTGCACTGTGTCCATCATGTTGATGAGCAGATTGCACTGTGTCCATCATGTTGATGAACAGATTGCACTATGTCCATCACGTTGATAAGCAAATTGTGTATATATACTTACACTCCCTAAACTAAGTAACTGAATCAAGGACTATATCAGGTTGATACTTAGAATTCTCACAAACTGAGTTAAACTGAATCAAGGATTATATCAGCTTGATACTTAGAATTCTCACAAACTAAGTTTAACTAAATCATTAGGACTATATCAGCTCGATACTTACATTCTCACAAACTAAGTTTAACAGAACCAAGGACTATATTATATTAGCTTGATACTTACATTGTCCCAAGATAAGTTTAACTGAATCAAGGGCTATATCACCTCTATATGATGACCCTCTGGTTGCCTCAAAGACTATCTAAAAATAGAAATTCCTGAATGTCATATGAAGGTTCATATATTCTAAATTCTATACTTTATCACAATTATCTCCCCTCCCACTTTTTGGTGCAATTCGTGTTGCTCAAATTTTAAATTAAGTCTCTGTTGAGAGTTTTGTTAACTTTTCTTCTAATCATTTTTTCTTCTTGTCTTTGATATCTTCCCCAAGATTAGAAATTCTTTTTTCTAGATGTAACAATCCTTTCTTTCACTATCACAGCTAAAGTTTATTTTACTGTAAATTCAGAAATTATTGCGTGCATTTATTATTTCGAAATTTGGTAAAATGAACTAAAATGCGAGATAGATTATTGCAATTTCAGGAAAATCTGCATACAGTTATATATATCAGATATATATATACCTTTTATTATTGAGATACTCATTCAGTCGCATTATTTGCATTAATAAAAACATCACAATAATTTCAAAATTTACGGTATATGGAATGTTCTGTTATTTTTTGTCTTTCAAATTATTGATTTGCCAGTTTTTAAGGTTAAAAAAATGTTGAGTCACTTGCTCCAAAAGAATGCTACTCTTAATTAACCAATAAAAAACTGGCATTTTACACAAGTATGATATACAATAATTATACCACTGGATCCGTGAAGCTAGGAGGTAATTCCACTTGATAGAAGACCCATTGATCTCCTTGGTCACCAGACACTGACCACACAGAAGAAGAGGAACCACGGTTACCAAACTTGACGGCCATGTTACCAGGTTTACCATACATATGGAGGTAAAACTGCAAGCAATAGCTACTTGTACCTGCAGTAAATATAACATTGTGTCAAAGGTACCAGGTGTACAATACATATGGAGGTAAAACTGTAAGCAATAGCTACTTGTACCTGCAGTAAATATAACATTGTGTCAAAGGTACCAGGTGTACCATACATATGGAGGTTAAGCTGTAAGCAATAGCTACTTGTACCTGCAGGAAATATAACATTGTGTCAATTTTAAGGCAATGAATGACAGTATTTGAAGTTATATCTCAATAATTGGATGCTAAACATTGTCTTGTATTTTTTATATAAAATGTGAGGTCTCTTTCAACTCTCTAACAAATAGCTTGAAAAGACCTGTAGTTCATCAGATCTGACTTTGACTCAACAAGTCTTAACAATAAAATATCATTTGACTGATCACAAGTTTTAAAAGTCTATATATATATGAGCTGCGTATCTATCTGGCGCCGCTCATATAATAATTACTGTAAACCAACTCTTTCAACTCTCTACAAAAAGTTTGAAATGATCTGTAGTTCATCAGACATGACTTTGACTATAAAACAAGTCCGAACAGTAAAAAACTATTTGGATTTGTACTAAATATGACTGATCAAAAGTTTTAAAAATCTATATATATGAGCTGTGTCGGATAGAAATCAATCTTATGCAAATGAATATCAATACATCTATGAACTTATTTTGGGTTGATAAAAATCCCTACGTAAAGTCTGTTTGAAAATTGAGGCTATATAAGAACCCTACAAAAAAGACCAAAATTTATCTTTTATTTTGTATTTGAATGTTCCTAAATCAATCAAAGTCTTATACATGTACATGTACACTTGCACTTGCATCAGGTCAATTTCTATCTGGCGCCCCTCATATAATAGTTATTCAAGTTTTAATGTTCAATTTTACCTGCAAGCAAAGTGTTAACAGTTGACAAAACAGCTTTGTCCCCCTGAACACTTGAAGAAGCCTCAGTGTAGACATACTGTGTGCCGTCATATGCACTAGAAGGGCCTGTACCACTACTAGGTGTTGACCCCTTGATAAAAATGAAAGATATGAAATGTCAAATGTAAAAAACTATACAAAACCATAAAAGGTACTATAATCTCATTCTTAAAATATTCATTAACAGCAGTAACTCATCATCATTTTTATGAATGGGCAGTTGACCTGAGGTCAATCAGTGTAAATGACATCATTGAACAATCAGTTCTTACTGTAAGGTAATAACATAAGCATTGTGATAAAGAAAATGTACTGGAAAATGCATGAATTTGAAAGTCATATAATCCCATCTGTTAAATACATCTATGCTAACAACATTGATTGTAAAAAGCAGTAACTTATCAAGTAGGAATATGACAATTGTCTTCCATTTGTTCCCTTAGTTGATATAGTCATTCATTTGATTTTGAAAAATGTTATGGACTTCCACCTTTTTGAATTTACATTGGTTCAGTTTATTTTATCAAAACTTTTTTATCTACTTCTTGTCTGTTAAATTTATAAATCTGCTTCATAAAACTGTCTATTAAATGATTATTGATCGTAAGTAGCATGCTAGCAATGTATCTCAGCAAACATGTCACTTAAATGGAGAACCAGAAGACTAGCAATGTACCTCAGCAAACATGTCACTGAAATGGAGGACCAGAAGATTAGCAATATACCTCAGCAAACATGTCACTAAAATGGAGGACAAGAAGACTAGCAATGTACCTCAGCAAACAGGTCACTTAAATGGAGGACCAGAAGACTAGCAATGTATCTCAGCAAACATGTCACTTAAATGGAGGACCAGAAGACTAGCAATGTACCTTGGCAAACATGTCACTTAAATGGAGGACCAGAAGACTAGCAATGTACCTCAGCAAACATGTCATTAAAATGGAGGACCAGAAGACTAGCAATGTACCTCAGCAAACATGTCATTAAAATGGAGGACCAGAAGACTAGCAATGTACCTCAGCAAACATGTCATTAAAATGGAGGACCATAAGACTAGCAATGTACCTCAGCAAACATGTCATTAAAATGGAGGACCAGAAGACTAGCAATGTACCTCAGCAAACAGGTCACTTAAATGGAGGACCAGAAGACTAGCAATGTACCTCAGCAAACAGGTCACTTAAATGGAGGACCAGAAGACTAGCAATGTACCTCAGCAAACATGTCATTAAAATGGAGGACCAAAAGACTAGCAATGTACCTCAGCAAACAGGTCACTTAAATGGAGGACCAGAAGACTAGCAATGTACCTCAGCAAACATGTCACTTAAATGGAGGACCAGAAGAAAAAGTGTTTGTTTCATATACAGTATTGATTAAGTGATTTAAACAACAACCAATTTTTTGTCAAAATTTAAACTAAAACAAAGGTAATCCCCAACTCCAATGCTCATTAAGTCCCCCTATTACTGTGGATAAATTTATTTTTGAGGATTGTTTGAAAAATGCATTTTCGTGGATATTTGATTTCTTAGTTTTGCCAAAGTCTGCATCGTCGGGTTGTTGTCTCATTGTTGTTGACACATTCCCCATTTCCCTTCTATACAAACCTTTAGATAATTTGTACTTCGTTGTTCATCTAATTTCGTGGTTTACCTATACCCATAAAAACCATGAAAATTGATGTTCCAATTAATCCACAGTAACTTGATGGTTTAATGTCTTTTTCCTTATTTTAAATTAAACGGCATAAGCTGTCAAATTCATGTTCACTGATTTGACTCACATTTGAAGGTCACATGAATACGGATTCAATGAGGTCGAATTGTTCACTTGCAAGTGAATAATATTAATTCATGAGCGATGTTTCTTAGCTTATTTTGACAAAATTGAAACAAATTGGCTGCTAAAAGCAAATTATTATTTCACTATATCACTTTTATTAATGATTGAACAAAAAAAATCACATATTTTAATTTTTTTTTATATCTAGTAGTGAATGCCCCATTAAGTCATTCACATGAGCCACTTACAGATCTATAAGTCCAGTCAAAATCATCATCATCATCAGTATTTTCAAACACACAATTATTTTGTGCTTCAAAATCACAAGTAAATTCTGATACTGATCTACCATCTGCAAAAAAAAATCAAAGCAGTACTGTAAGCCCTTTGGGACAGATTATAGAATATAGGATGAAATTAATTGTGATTGACAACAAAACATAATCAGAAGTTTATCACACAGAGTTCTTAAAATCTTTTTTTCTCTGTCGGTCCTTGACGAAAATCTGCTGGTTCTCAATATAATTTCTATTGCAGAATATCAAAATTGTGTAGGTCCTTTGCAAAATTTTTGTGGTGTGAACCTTCGGACCACCACTTTTCGAGAACTCTGATCACATATCTCAACTATCAAAAATATAATGCTGTGACCCAAGTACAAACTTATATAATTGTTGATATCTTAAACACAATATATATTACACAAAATTTTAAGTGCAACACTTTATTTAGTTTTACAAATCCTATCCAGTCAAAATATCCCAATAATAGAAAAATCTAAAAAAAAATTGAATTTTCAGTCGAGAATTGATGAATGTTGAAAACTTTTAGTTGATCTAGATTTTTTGGGGTCTTTTCTTCTTGTGATGTTTAATTTAGAGGCTGTCTATTTAACAAATATCCCACATTGTCTTCTAGTCATTTTTCCATCTCTCACTTACCACTTTGTTCACAATTTTGTTCATTAAATCCAGCCTGACATGCACAGGTATAACCACTTGCTGTTGTTGTTTCTGAACAAGATCCCCCATTTTGGCAAGGACTGGAGTCACATGCATTAACTAAAAATAAAACATATATATATATATATATATATATATACAAGTCTAAATTGAAAACAACGTTCAAACCTATAGATAACAAATATATATAAATAAAGAATATTACATCAAAAAGTGTTTCATTATTATTATAGGTTATTTTCCATTCCAACTTAAGTTCTCTGACTCAATGTCACTATCACGTTTGGAGTTTATGATGGAATCAATTATCATCACTGCCAATATCATCATGTTTTTGGCTATATCCTTAATTTCCCCCTCCCAAATTTCAAATTAGGGGGATATTTGATTTTCTGAACCTGTAATTTATACTTTTGTTTATTTTAGATAAAAGAGACCCTTTTAGACACTAAAATATTCAAGAAATCGTTTTTATGGGGTTTTTCACTATTGTCTTATAAATACTGATCCTCAAATTTCCCCAAAAAACTATCATGACTATGAAATATTGTTTCATATATACTGATCATCAAATTTTCCCAAAAACATTTAAATAGTGTCTCATATAAACTGATTCTCAAACTTCCCCCATAACTATAAAACATTGTCGTTCAAAATTACACAAATGACTGAAACCTGTCCTTTATTCACAGTAAATAAACTGGTTATATCAAATTTCCTGGGATTGGGGTGGGGGGGAGGGGGTGAGGATGAATAGAACATATCCATATATTTTCCCAGAGTTTAAATTTTACGATTTAAAGGATGTTCCCTACTCCGGTATTTTTTTTATTTTTGTCAGATATTCAAATCCTCTAGTTTTAACCAAGTGGTGCCAATAAAATTTTACCCACTAACCCTTACTTTTCTTTTCATAATATTAAAACACAAAGTTTTAAAAGACATTTTTGAAAATCTTATAAAATCCGTGTTATTTTCCATAGTTTTTGAAAGAAAAAAGGTGCCAATGTTAAATATATGAAAAATCTAGAGTGAATAATTATTTCCTGCCAAATTTTCAATTGTTTATATCTCAAAAACAAGGACACAACCTTTCTATTTTTTCTGCTTTTTAAGTTCCTTGATTTATATAATATCAATTTATTACAGTCTTTTAAAAAGTTTGTTATATTCAAAAAGAGGAGCAAACATCTTTAATTACAAAACCTGTTTTTCTTAAACTTGAGATCCCATATTAAAGTGCCACCTGTGGTATAGTTAACAGGTTATGATATCACAGTAATTAACTTACCATCACATATCCCACTCTTTAGTTTTATATCATCTATAGCAATATCTCCCTTCCATGTTGTTGCTTTATTAGCTTCTATAAATAACTGCAAGAGAAAACATTTATACAATTTCATTACCTTATTATAGATCTTGGTAAAAAAAACTTCTAGGAAATCTTTTTCATTTCATGGTAATTAATATTTAATTTTGGCCAAAAAGTCTATTTTCTGTAAATTGATTCTTTTTCAGTGGGTTCCAGTTTACGTTGATGGATGAAAAATTTACTTTTCATGGATATTTGATTTCGTGCTTTTATCCAAGTCAGCATATATGCCTGTAGAAAATCTTTGTATTGCTAATCATTTTTAGTTTCTCTCTACCTTCTTAAGTTTTTGCCGTAAACAAACTAGACTGGGTCGCTCAGATAGGTTTATGTGCATTTTCAACAATGGACACTTTCCATTGATTGGTGTTTAATGCCACTTTCAGCACTTTTGTGCTATTTCGTGGCAGTCAGTTTTTATTGGTGGTGGAAGGCATAGTACTCTGAGAGAACCAAGACCTTCAGTAGGAAAACTGACAATCCTAGTCAATTATGATTGGAGTAGAGCACGCAACTGCCATGTGCTGGACTCGAACTAACAAACTCAGTGTTGACAGGTTAGTGATACAGTAGTTTGACTACTAAGACCACTCAGCCACTGTGGCCCTAGAACTAACAAACTCAGTGTTGACAGGTTAGTGATACAGTAGTTTGACTACTAAGACCACTCAGCCACCGTGCCCCCCCCCCCCCCCCCCCCCTAAAAAGAATAAAATTCATGACAAAAATATCTTTTGTGTTCATCTTGTATTGCTGATCTTCTATTCTGTTAACAGTTTCTCTCCATCTTCTTAAGTTTTAGCCAAAAAAACAAAAGAGTGAAAAAAAACTGTTATTAAAGGGCAATCACTCCTATAAAGAGTCTGATAACTATTTTGGCAAAATTTGTATTGTTTGTAGATCTTGGCTTGCTGATCATGTTTATTTTTTACAGTTTTTATCAATCTTTTCTAGTTTTCAAGATAATGGGCAATAATGCCAAAAATTGGTAGAAATCATCATTAAAGAGCAAGAATGAGTGGACTAATGATTACAACCATGTTAACTTATTTGTAGATCTTGTCTTGCTAATCATTTATGCTATCTAAAATGTCTACCTATCTATTATAGCTTTCAAGATATTACACAAAAACACTAAACATTGCTAAAAATTCGTAAAGGTTCCGCAGAACCCAGTGTCTCGCCTACTTTTGCTGTTAATCGCAAGCTCAACAAAAATGAGGAAAAAAATCAATAAAAATATTCCTTTAGATACTATCTTTTGATTGTAAGAAGCTTCTGTCAAAGTTTGGTATAAATCCAGGATAGTTTAAGAAAGTTATTAAAATTTTAAAAACTTTAACCACAGAGTGAATGTATTGTTTCCTGGCAGAAAAACTAAGTCCATTTATAAGTAAAATACGGAAAAAATGATTTTTTTTTTTTAACAAATTAACTACTGGATACTATCTTATGATCAGAAACAAGCTTCTGTCCAAGTTTGGTACAAATCAAGGATAGTTTAAGAAAGTTATTAAAATTTTAAAAACTTTAACCACAGAGTGAATGTAATGTTTCCTGGCAGAAAAACTAAGTCCATTTACAAGTAAAATACGGAAAAACAGGAATTTTATTTTTACAAAATTTACTTCTGGATACTATCTTATGATCATAAACAAGCTTCTGTCCAAGTTTGGTAGAAATCCAGGATAGTTTAAGAAAGTTATTAAAATTTCAAAAACTTTAACCACAGAGTGAATATTTGTGGACGCCGCTGACGACAACGGCGACGCCGACGGAATGTAGGATCGCTATGTCTCGCTTTTTGACTAAAGTTGAAGGCTCGACAAAAATCGTCATTAAAGGGCAATAACTCCAATAATGAGTTGACTGAAGAATTTGGCTATAAGATTTATTTGTAGATCTTGTCTTGCTGATCACTTTTGCTGTTTAAAGTTTCTATTTATCTTTTACAGTTTTCATGATATAAGGAAAAAACACAAAATTTGTAAAAATTTGTCATTGAAAGTCAATAACTCTTATAACTAGTTGTCTGACGATTTCAGCCATGCAAACTTATTTGTACATCTTGTCTTGCTGATCATTTTCTTCATTACAAGTTTCTCTCTATCCATTATAATTTTCAAGATAATAGGTAACAAGAGTGCACACGCTGAAATGTCTTGCCTTCTTTACTAACCATTGATATTATGTTGATAGTTCTAAATATAAAGCTTTACTACAACTATCACATAAACTTAATATGATCCAAGAAAATGAGCTCAAGGACATATAAACCTAATGAGAAATACAAGTACACCTTACAATCATTCAATACACTAAATATAGTTGACTATTGCTTATCATGCTTATATAGTTTCTAAGAAACAGACTTCACCAAAAAAAATTAAACATTGACCAATGAACCATGAAAATGAGGTCATGGTCAAATAAACCATGCCAGGCAGACATGTACAGTTTACAATCCTTCCATACAACGAATATATTTGACCTTTTACTTATAGGTAAGAAAAACAGACCAAAACACAAAAACTTAACACTGAGCAATGAACTGTGAAAATGAGGTCAAGATCAAATAAAACCTGCAAGACTAACATGTACATCATAAAATATTTCCATACACAAAATATAGTTGACCTATTGCATATATAGTATAATAAAAAAGACCAAAACTCAAAAAATTAACTTTGACCACTGAACCATGAAATTGAGATCAAGGTAAGATGACACTGCCAGTTGGACATATACACCTTACAATCATTCCATACACCAAATATAGTAGACCTATTGCATACAGTATAAGAAAAACAGACTAAAACTCAAAAACTTAACTATAACCACTGAACCATGAAAATGAGGTCAAGGTTAGATGACACCTGCCAGTTGAACATGTACACCTTACAATCCTTCCATATACCAAATATAGTAGATCTATTGCTTCTAGTATCTGAAATATGGACTTGACCACCAAAACTTAACCTTGTTCACTGATCCATGAAATGAGGTCGAGGTCAAGTGAAAACAGTCTGACAGGCATGAGGACCTTGCAAGGTATGCAAATACCAAATATAGTTATCCTATTTCTCATAATAAGAGAGAAATTAACATTACAAAAAATCTTTACTTTTTTCAAGTAGTTACTGAACCATGAAAATGAGGTCAAGGACAATGGACATGTGACAGACAGAAACTTCTTGACAAGGCATCTATATACAAAGTAGGAAGCATCCAGGTCTTCCACATTCTAAAATATAAAGCTCTTAAGAAGTTAGTTAACGCCGCCGCTGCCAGATCACTATCCCTATGTCGAGCTTTCTGCGTCAAAATGAAAAAAAAAGGGTGAAATTCACAATTTAAGGGCTGAATAACAACTTTAAAATGTTGTCTGACAGGTAGAGCTCAACATTCTGAACATTTCTACCCTGTCACGATTTTCTCTTTTTATAGAGGTTTTCAAAATAATAGACAATATATTCTATTTTTAGCCATGTGGGCCATTCTGTATTTTTTGAGCTTATTTTTCTCTATTCATTATCTTTTTGACCTTTTATTCTGTATTTCCCCTCTAATTGTTCTCTATTCTGTAAACCTCATCCAGACCCTCATAAATTATTTCATTTCTGTAGAGATATCTTATATACAAACAAACCTTCATTCCTGCCACAGAAGTAAATGTAATCATTCCCATGTTCCACTGGTCATCATGGTTACCAGATTCTTTAAACAAGTCATTTTCAGGGGCTGTAACTCCAGTTGAAATTTTCAGTTCTCCCATTGTATCAGATCCAAACATGTGATATTCAAAAGTCAAACAATAGTCACCTGCTGTAAAGAAAGAAATATTTTTTTCTATATTTTTAAACAATGCTGAAAAAATAGTTTTTAAAAGATCAAATAGGCAAATTCTCACTGGTCATCAGACATTAACTTTTTTTTCTTCTTTTTGTATTTTTATGGTTTTTACAGGAAGGCAGTAGCATATTCTCATTAGTCATGTGATGTAAACTTTTCTTTCTTCATTTTTTCAACTCTACTTGTATGTTGTCTACAATAAGTTATATCACAGAATATCTTTTTATTGATAATTCCTTAAAGGGGCACTAGCTACGAGATATATAAAAAATCTAATATATGATTTTTTTTTTTTCAATCATTAATGAAAGTGAAATAGTGAAATAATTATTCGCTTTTAGCTGCCAGTATGGTTCAATTTTGTCAAAATAAGCTAAGAAACATTGATGATGAATTATTCACTTACAAGTGAATTTAACCCCTTAGCTAGAGATGGATAACACGTGAATTGTATGTGTAAAGTTATTTAAAGGAAAAGAATGTCAACATTGAAAGTGAAAATAGGCAAATCATTTGATTGACTGATCCGGTCCACAAAAAATTATTCTTATACAGGTAAAAACGATGATAAACATAGATTTTTAATCTATAATATGAAATTAAACAGACCTAGAAAAATCCAAAAGTACGAGTTCGCTTAATCTATTTATATCTTTATTTATGTTTACATCGCTTATATGGTCATCGGATGACTTTGGAGGTCAACTCAATAGTTAATTAGATGGCATCTAGACTAAAATACACACGAAACGAAGCTACGTGTTATCATGCCCATGTCCGGTTAACTGTTTATTTTAGACTTTTAATAGTTTGGATAAATGTTTTACATTGTTATAAATCAAATATGAGAATTTGAGTCAAATTGGACAGCTAGTGCCCCTTTAAGGATGTTCGCTCCTCTTGTTTTTGAATTTTTGTCAGATATTGGGAATCCTCTGGTTTTATCCATGTGGTGTTAATAAATATTTTACCCGCTAACACCTACTTTTCTTTTAATAATTTTATTACATTTAGTTTTAAAAGCTATATTTGAAAATCTTATAAAATCCTTGTTATTTTTTCATAGTTTTTGAAAGAAAAAAGGTGCCAATGTTAAATGTATGAAAAATCTAGTGAGAATCATATATCTCGAAAACAAGCAAACAGACCCTTTAATTTTTTCTGCTTTTTTTAGTTCCTTTATTCATACAATTTCAATTTATAACAGTCTTTTGAAAAGCTTGTTATTATGAAACAGAGTAGTGAACATCCTTAAAACAAATAGTATAATTTACCATTTAATGTCGTTGACGATTCTAGCCTAGCAACAGCGTTGTTGCTCACTGGTGAAGATACTTCTACATACTTGTACCAACTGCCTTCAACTGCCGATTGTGGTCCAGTGCCACTGGAACCAGTCTGGCCCTAAATACAATTACATAAATAAAGTGACCAAGATAATCTTTGAAGAATGTTTCTATCTGTAGATCACATTTTAACGACACTTTCAGTAGTACAGTCAAGGTTTAGAACAAACATTTCTAAAATTGTTCCGTTTATAAATTTTAAAATGGATTTGGCTATTTTTAAGGTACTTTTAGTCATATAACTCTTTGACTGTTTCAGTTCTCATACATCCTTGGCTTTCAAATATTCGGCTTTGAGTGTTCCTGATAAAGGTAAATCCAGAAACTTGTGACGTATTAAATTTATTATGTGTTTTGTGAACTTTCTATACAGGTTTGACTATAGATTAATAGAAGTCATCAATACAAAGGTTGCCTCCCTTAAAAGGTCAGTTTTCTCTGGTCCTGAGGGTGAACTTTCTATACAGGTTTGACTATAGATTAATAGAAGTGATCAATACAAAGGTTGCCTCCCTTAAAAGGTCAGTTTTCTCTGGTCCTGAGGGTGACCTTTTTATTCAGGTTTGACTGTAGATTAATAGAAGTGTAAACTGTGTTACAAGTGCAGTATATTATATTGTGTGGATGTACTGCCACGTTTACATTGTATCTGGGTTGGGGCTCTGAACTGACCAAAAATTTAATATTGAATTTTGTGTAGAAATAAGAATTTTTCAACAGTAAGTGTTAAGATTTTTTCAATTGGTGTTATAAGAAAATTGTCCTGCAGAAGTGATCTGTAGATAAATATAGATACAAGTGAGTAAAGTGTAATTCTAAATTTCTCATCTACGAAAAGTTTAATTTTTAAACTCAATTAAGTATGTTCGCTCCTCTGTTTTAAAATAGCAAGCTTTTTACAAAGACTGTTATAAATTGATAGTATATAAATCATGAAGCTAAAAAAAGTAGAAAAAAATGACAGGCGGATGTCCTAGTTTTTGAGATAAAATTAATTGAAATTTGGCAGGCAATAATTTTCTCTAGATTTGTCATATATTCAACATTGGCACCTTCTTTCTTTCAAAAACTCCCGTACGAAATAAGTAGTAGGATTCCACCTAGACACTAGTAGGAATGTAGTAGGAATCCACCTAGAATCTATGATTCTATATAGAAAGTAGGCGGACATGGAAAATGAACAAAATTCTGACTGGATTTTTTTTTTCTCCACTGGTAAAATCCTACCATCTAGCTGGAATTTTAAAAGTCTGTATGGATTTTTTTCTGTTTTGAAAATCTAAAGTGGGAATTTGGACAGAAAATATGATAAGATTATTCATTTTCCTACTACAAGATTCCTACCAGAATTAATTTATTCCTACTAGAAAATCTTTCCACATGGAATCTTTTTAATTATCTTAAACTGGATTCCTGTTTGCTAATGACACAAATTTTGCTGTGTTAAATGCAAACAAGTTCCAGTTCACAAATTCAAAAGTTGGGAGGGTAGAAGAATGAAAAGTTGTGTTGGAACACAATATGCTGCAAGGGTTAAACAACTACAATATTGAAATATGAGAAAATATGGCTCATGTAGATTGAAGGTAAATTTTATACTTTTAAGATGAAATTTTTGATCTGTTTGTCAATATATTTAGTAATCAGTTAATTCAACAATAGTGCATAATTTTACTTATTAATTTTTCATAACTCTTTAATTTCATCTTAGAATCATCATTTTTGCCCATCTACATATATGTTTGGATATATCACAGCTTCCTCATACATTTCAAAAGTCAACTTTTTTTTAAATGAATAAATTCCATGCATTTCCTTTGTTTTTTGTTGTTGAGTTTCAAACTTAAATGATTGACCCAGTTGTGTATTTGTGAATATACACTTACATTTTGTATATTTTTAGATTCCTACTAGAAAATATTTTTTTCTATGTGGAATTTTGAAAAATTCCTGCCAGGTTTTCTAGTAGGAATTTTATTTTCCCGCCAAATTATTCCTGCTAATTTAAATATTCCTGGTAGGAATATACAATATTCCTACTAAGAAATTCCTGCTAATTTAAATTTTTCGGCTATTTTCCGTGTGGATTCCTACTACTGTCTGACTAGAATATCACTCTTTTCTGGTAGGAATTCAATGCAATATTCCTACTATATTCCGTGTACATTCTGTGTGGAATATTTCATACAGGCTATGAACAAATAACAAGGAGTTTATAAGATTTGCTTTTATAAAATTGCTTTTTCAACTATTTCTTATAAAAGTAAGAAAAGAAAAGATATTTGATATTTTGGTGTTTTAACGCCACTTTTAAGCACCGTTTTTGGGCTATTTCGTGGCGGCCAGTTTTTATTGGTAGAGGAAGCCGAAGTGCCCGGAGAAAACCACCGACCTTCGATAGGAAAACTGACAATCCTAGTCAATTAAGATTGGAGTCGAGTGCACCCGCACGAGCGGGGTTCGAACTCACAACCTCAGTGTTGACTGGCTAGTGATTACAGTAGTAACTACTTAGACCACTCGGCCACCGAGGCCCCAGAAAAGAAATGAAGGGGTTAGACTAATAGTAGGGCAAAATTTGTATTGGCATTATATTGATAAAACTAGATGTTCCCAATACCTGACTAAAAAATAAAAAACACAAGAGTGAACATCCTTTAAGCACAAGACATGCTGAATGTCATCAAAATATTTAAAATTTTTAACATATCTAAATTTACAAATACCTTATTTGCAAAAATATCATCTAAGAATCATTTAAAGAATTAAATTTGACCACCAAATCTTGTGTGATAAGGTTCTTATCACTTTAAATTCAAATCTTGTGATAAAATATCTAAATTTAAAGTGACAAGAACCTTATCATACAAAATTTGGTGATCAAAGGAGTTGGTTCACTAACTCATAATTTTGGCCCTAAAAATCTGAAAATATTTACTGTGATAACGTGGTGAAAACTCGAATAAAACATATGTCAAAGTGTCCAATTGTTTCAGTTTTAACATAATTCCACCAATTGCGTCATTAGTGATGTAATTGTGATGTCATAAAAGGGGAATTTCATAAAAAAAGCCTGTTTTTTAGCTGAATTCTGCACAATTTATGACAGTTTTCTGAAGAAACAAGAGGCTCTCAAGAGCCTGAATCGATCACATGTATTTCAGAGGAGAAGATTTTTAAATGTTAGCAAACTTGATGAACAAATTGTGTAAAATTGTCTTTAAAGGGCAATAACTCCTTAAGGGGTCAATTGACAATTTTGGTCATATTAACTTTTTTGTAGATCTTACTTTGCTGAACATTATTGCTGCTTACAGTTTATATATCTATAATAATATTCAAAATAATAAAAAACTGCAAAATTTTGTTAAAACTACCAATTTGGTGGCAGCAACCCAACCATGGGTTGTTCGTTTCGTCTGATAATTTCAGGGCCGATAGATCTTGACCAATTAAACAATTTTTACCCCTGTCACATTTGCTCTAAAAGATTTAGTTTTTGAGATATAAGCCAAAAACTGCATTTGACCCTTATGTTCTATTTTTAGCCATGGAGGCCATGTTTGTCGATGGATACAAACTTCGGATACAATTTATAAACAAGATACCCTAAGGAACATTTATTTAAAGTTTGAAGGTAATTGGCCCAGTAGTTTCAGAGGAGAAGATTTTTAAATGTTAGCAAACTTGATGAATAAATTGTGTAAAATTGTCTTTAAAGGGCAATAACTCCTTAAGGGGTCAATTGACAATTATGGTCATATATACTTTTTTGTAGATCTTACTTTGCTGAACATTATTGCTGCTTACAGTTTATATATATCTATAATAATATTCAAAATAATAACAGAAAACTGTAAAATTTTGTTAAAAGTACCAATTTGGTGGCAGCAACCCTACAATGGGTTGTTCGACTCGTTTAAAAATTTCAGAGCTGATAGATCTTGACCAATTGAACAATTTTACCCAGTGTCAGATTTGCTCTAAAAGCTTTAGTTTTTGAGATATAAGCCAAAAACTGCATTTGACCCCTATGTTCTATTTTCAGCCATGGCCGCCATGTTTGTTGATGGATCAAAACTTCGGATACAATTTATAAACTAGATACCCTAAGGAACATTTAGATAAAGTTTGAAGGTATTTGGCCAAGTAGTTTCAGAGGAGAAGATTTTTGAAATAGCTTACGAGGACAGACGACGACAGACGACCTACAACGACGGACGCCAAGTGATGGCATAAGCTCACATAGGGCCCCGGTGAGCTACAAAAAACAGAGGCGCCATTCCTGCACCCATGAATATTTTTGCTGAAATATTCTTTATATACCATATTCTTTACTTTTTAATAAAAATTTCAATGGGCGAGGGGGTGGGGCCACATACAAAATCATGAAAAAAGTTGAAAAATAGACAAATGTCTAGAAAAAAAGACGAAAATTAAATCTATTCCTATTTCAGTCTAATATATTTATAAATATGAAGCAGATATAAAATTTTCATTTTATACTTTTAAGTATCAAACATTTAGTAATGCATACCCATTAGATTTACTTCAATAATTGAGGTTAAAAAAACACCTTTCCAGGGCCGTTTATTGGGGTTCCTGGCTCTACTCCTTTGTTTTATAAATGAATCTTGGATGATATTTTGGCAAATATTTTTTAAAGAGTCTACAAAAATTGTGTTCTTTATATTTGATATCATTAGGCATTCAACCTCCTGTCATTACCTCCCCAGTCAAATAGATAGAACAGGGAAAAAAAAAGAATAAATATTTCTTTTCATGTTTTGTATTGATATATTAAACATATATACTACCATTTTATGTACATGTCATTGATTGTAATGATTAAGGTTTGTTCTTTGTGTGTTGATGACAATCCATATTTTGGATTTTATGCCAATAAAATCTTTGACATTGACTTTGACTTACACTTTTACCAGTCCAATTAAAATCATCATCAGTAGCTTGAACCAAAAAACATGGAGCACCATCCTCAAATGTACATGTCTGGGTACCATCTGAAAAGATTGAGAAAAACATGAGCACCATTCTCAAATGTACATGTCTGGGTGCCATCTAAAAAGATAGAGAAAAACATAGAGCACCATCCTCAAATGTACATGTCTGGGTACCATCTGAAAAGATTGAGAAAAACATGAGCACCATCCTCAAATGTACATGTCTGGGTACCATCTGAAAAGATTGAGAAAAACATGAGCACCATCCTCAAATGTACATGTCTGGGTACCATCTGAAAAGATTGAGAAAAACATGAGCACCATCCTCAAATGTACATGTCTGGGTACCATCTGAAAAGATTGAGAAAAACATGGAAAACCATTCTCAAATGTACATGTCTGGGTGCCATCTGAAAAGATTGAGAAAAACATGAGCACCATTCTCAAATGTACATGTCTGGGTGCCATCTAAAAAGATAGAGAAAAACATAGAGCACCATCCTCAAATGTACATGTCTGGGTACCATCTGAAAAGATTGAGAAAAACATGAGCACCATCCTCAAATGTACATGTCTGGGTACCATCTGAAAAGATTGAGAAAAACATGAGCACCATCCTCAAATGTACATGTCTGGGTACCATCTGAAAAGATTGAGAAAAACATGAGCACCATCCTCAAATGTACATGTCTGGGTACCATCTGAAAAGATTGAGAAAAACATGAGCACCATCCTCAAATGTACATGTCTGGGTACCATCTGAAAAGATTGAGAAAAACATGGAAAACCATTCTCAAATGTACATGTCTGGGTGCCATCTGAAAAGATAGAGAAAAACATGGAGCACCATCCTCAAATGTACATGTCTGAGTGCCATCTGAAAAGATAGAGAAAAACATAGAGCACCATCCTCAAATGTACATGTCTGGGTGCCATCTAAAAAGATAGAGAAAAACATAGAGCACCATCCTCAAATGTACATGTCTGGGTGGCATCTGAAAAGATAGAGAAAAACATAGAGCACCATCCTCAAATATACATGTCTGGGTACCATCTGAAAAGATTGAGAAAAACATGAGCACCATCCTCAAATGTACATGTCTGGGTGCCATCTAAAAAGATAGAGAAAAACATAGAGCACCATCCTCAAATGTACATGTCTGGGTGCCATCTGAAAAGATAGAGAACTAGAGGCTCTAAAGAGCCTGTGTCGCTCATCTTGGTCTAGGTGCATATCAGACAAAGGACACTCTCCAATATTGAAGACGAGAATAGACTTCATGACAAAAATCTCTATTTTGTTGATCTTGTATTACTGATCTTTTAGTCTGTTTAGTTTCTCTCTATCTTCTTTATTTTTTTTAAAAACACAAAAGGGGGTAAAAAGAAAATCCTCAATTAAGGGCAATAACTCCTATGAAGAGTGACAGTCTTCTAACTATATCAGCAAAATTTGAATTTTTAATAGATCTTACCTTGCTGATCATTTTTGTGATTTACAGTGTTTATCTATCTATTGTAATTTAAATCATATAAGGCATAACAGAAAAAAAATATTTCTCTCTAAATATCATAGTTTTCATGATAATAGGTAAAAATGAAAAAAATGGTAAACTTTATCATTTATGGGCAATAACTCCTATAAAATTTGTCTAACAGTTTTGACGTATATGGACAATTGGTAGAGCTCATTATTCTGAACATTTTTGCTACTTCCAGATTTTCTCTATTTATAACAGTTCAAAAAATAATAGACAAAACTTGCATTTTACCCCTATGTTCTATTTTTAGCCATGTCGGCCATGTTGGTTGGTAGGCTGGGTCATTGGACACATTTTCTAAACTAGATACCCTAATTAGGATTGTGGTTAAGTTTGGTTAAATTTGTCTCAGTAGTTTCAGAGGAGAAGATTTTTGTAAAAGATTACAAAAATTTACAAAAAATTGTTAAAAATGGACTATAAAGGGAAATAACTCCTTAATGGGTCAATTGACCATTTTAGTCATGTTGACTTATTTGTAGATCTTACTTTGCTGTACATTATTGCTGTTTACAGTTTATCTCTATCTATAATAATTTTGAAGATAATAACCAAAAACTGCAAAATTTTCTTAAAATTACCAATTAATGGGCAGCAACCCAACAATGGGTTGTCTGATTTGTCTCAAAATTTCAATGCAGATAGATTTTGACCTGATGAACAATTTTACTACTGTCAGATTTGCTCTAAATGCTTTGGTTTCAGAGATATAAGCCAAAATCTACATTTTACCCCTATGTTCTATTTTTAGCCATGGGGGTCATCTTGGTTGGTGGGCCGGGTCATCAGACCCTTTTTTTAACTAGATACCCTAATGATGATAGTTGCCAAGTTTGGTTAAATTTGGTCCAGTAGTTTCAGAGGAGAAGATTTTTGTAAAAGTTAACGACGAATGAATTTATCTCCCTTTGTCAATATAACATCAATATTACTTATAAGATTGTCATTGTATACGTAGCTTTCAATTGACACAATTTCAGCAAGAGTAACTTCCCTTTTGTCACCATGTTGCAGGTCTATGTGCAGAAATTCCCTCATAAATTAGCCTAATTTGTTAAATAATATTGACCACTAACTGTAGAAAAGGTTATTTTCTGAACTATTTAAATTTCTTTTAGCCTTGCTTGATTCATCACTATGATCTAGTAAGGATCTCTTATCAGATATGTTTGTACCACAAATTTCAATTTGGTAGGTCAAATAAGAAAAATCAACCATTTACCCCTCCATACTGGCAGCCAAGGGAAGCAACTCAACCATTTACCCCTCCACACTGGCAGCCAAGGGAAGTAACTCAACCATTTACCCCTCCACACTGGCAGCCTAGGGAAGCAACTCAACCATTTACCCCTCCACACTGGCTGCCAAGGGAAGTAACTCAACCATTTACCCCTCCACACTGGCTACCAAGGGAAGTAACTCAACCATTTACCTCTCCACACTGGCAGCCAAGAGAAGCAACTCAAACTCAAATTACGTCATATCAAAACTTATCCATTGCTATAGTAAAACAAGAGTGCACATGCTTTCCTGCTAAGCATACCTGAAAACATCATTAAAAAGTATCTGAAAAACAGGAAGTATGTGTTAGACACTTCTGTTAAGCTCACACACACATTACAACTCATCATTGTTAGGCTGCTGACCAATTTTACAGTCATTCTGTTAAGCTCACACACACATTTCAACTCATCATTGTTGGGCTGCTGACCAATTTTACAGTCATTTTGTTAAGCTTAGTTAGCTCACACACATTACAACTCATCATTGTTGGGCTGCTGACCAATTTTACAGTCATTCTGTTAAGCTCACACACACATTACAACTCATCATTGTTGGGCTGCTGACCAATTTTACAGTCATTCTGTTAAACTCACACACACATTATAACTCATCATTGTTGGGCTGCTGACCAATTTTACAGTCATTTTGTTAAGCTTAGTTAGCTCACACACATTACAACTCATCATTGTTGGGCTGCTGACCAATTTTACAGTCATTCTGTTAAGCTCACACTCACATTACAACTCATCACTGTTGGGTTGCTGACCAATTTTACAGTCATTCTGTTAAACTCACACACATAACAACTCACTATGGTTGGGATGCTGACCAATATACAGTCATTATGTTAAGTATTGCTGGAGAAATGTGAGAGGTAAAATTCAAATTCATTCAACATATTGAAAAATTCAAAGTATGGGCAGAAAGAAGCAGGCAGCTGACAGATCTGAGAAGTGAACGTGGTTTCAATCAATAAGTGTCAACCTGCTGACCAAATATGAAATCATTATGTTCAGTGCTACTTGATAAATCAACCAGCTGACCAAGTTCATTAAACAAACTCAGGGGAATTCTGGAATAGTCAGTTTAATCGTCTGGAATTCAAAAATTCAGGATTTAAAAATATCATGATGCGGGAAAGGACACATTATTTTCACTGGAATTCAGGATGAGACCAACTTCTACCTCACCCCAAACAAAATGTTTGCAAAGATGTACAGATTAGATGTAAGCATAAAACATCAATATACATACCTGTTGGTGGAATCTGTGTAGTTGTAGTCGGTTGAGGTTGAATTGTAGTCACTTTAGTTGTAGTCGGTTGAGTTGTAGTTGGTTTAGTTGTCATTGGTGTAGTTGTAGACGGTTGAGGTTGAATTGTAGTCACTTTAGTTGTAGTTGGTTGAGTTGTAGTCGGTTGAGTTGTTGTTGGTTTAGTTGTCATTGGTGCAGTTGTAGTCGGTGAGTTTGTTGGACCAGCTGTAACGGGGTTGGCTGATATAATAATCAACTATTATCATGACTTCTTTCAGCAATTTTTAATATAATTAATTTTCAAATCAAATCAAATCAAATATTTTATTGTCTTATAAACTTTACAGTTTGGAACCAACATGTATTAACAAAATAAACATATATACATACATATCAAACAAACACAATAAAAACAGCATCAAAATTTATAAAAACAAACAAGTTGTTAAGAGTCCCCTGCCCTCAGTTCTAATGACTTTTTCAAGTAGGATCCTAACTTATTTGTTTGTAAAGGCGTTGATGGATTTAGTAAATAATGAATTTTTTCTTCTTCATTTAAATTATTAAAGTTATTATTTTCAGTACATATGTGTTCAAAAAAGGCATTTCTTAGTGTTTTATTATAATCACAATAGAGTAAAAAATGTTTCTCATCATCTAGTATTTTACATTTATGACAAAGTCGTTCCTCTCTTGGGATTTTAAAATATCTCCCCTTTTCAATTAAGAGGGAGTGATCACTTAGTCTAAATTTAGTGATCAATCTCCTTATCTGAAAATTAGATATATTTAGATAAGATTCTAGTTTCCAATCCTTTTTAAGTTTTTTATATAGATAAAATTTACTTTTATCATCAATGTTTTCAAATTTAGTTTCAATTAAATCTTCATATCTATTTTTCATTTTTAACTTTATATCGTTTTTTATTTTATTTACATCTTTTATGTCCTTACAATTAGAAAAAATATTAAGGTCAATATTAGTCTCTTCAACAATATTTTTTGCATATGTATACCATGAATAAGTTCCAGTCAAATCTAGAGACTGTGCTAGAGAAAAAGCTTCCTTTATCAATGGATTAATATTATTATTATATAGTCTAGCTAAATATAAAAGGGTTTGTGCTTTAATAAAACATTTTATAGGCAATCTTCCTAATTCAACTCTTGCTCCTAAATTGGATGCATTTTTTCTTATTCCTAGAGTAGATTTACAAAATTTAAGATGCATATTTTCATAATACTTCCAAGGGGCTTAACTCTTTCAAAAATATTTGATCTACACTTATTTTCAAACTTGTGCTAGACATTGCTGATATAAATTTTATGAAATTTGGCAAAAATTGGAACATGTGAAGGTGCTTACATTGCAATTTTTAGATAATAAATATTTCCAATAGGTATAACTACTCTTTTAAAAAAAGTTTGAACAGCACTGACTTTTGACTTACCATAGACATTACTGATATAAATCTACGATATAAGTTTTATAAAAGAATTGTACATGTGAGAGCACTTAAAAGGACAGATGCATGTTATTTCTATGATCCTCACAACAGGTCACATTGGGACAGAAAAACAGCCTGTTACCCTGATTATCTCCCCTTTAAATCTACGTAATAATCTTACCACAAGTTCCTGGAATTACCTGATTAACTCCCCTTTAAATCTATGTAATAATCTTACCACAAGTTCCTGGAATTACCTGATTAACTCCCCTTTAAATCTATGTAATAATCTTACCACAAGTTCCTGGAATTACCTGATTAACTCCCCTTTAAATCTATGTAATAATCTTACCACAAGTTCCTGGAATTACCTGATTAACTCCCCTTTAAATCTATGTAATAATCTTACCACAACTTCCTGGAATTACCTAATTAACTCCCCTTTAAATCTATGTAATAATCTTACCACAACTTCCTGGAATTACCTGATTAACTCCCCTTTAAATTTGTGTGATAATCTTACCACAACTTCCTGGAATTACCTGATTAACTCCCCTTTAAATCTATATAATAATCTTACCACAAGTTCCTGGAATTACCTGATTAACTCCCCTTTGAATTTGTGTGATAATCTTACCACAAGTTCCTGGAATTACCTGATTAACTCCCCTTTAAATCTATGTAATAATCTTACCACAAGTTCCTGGAATTACCTGATTAACTCCCCTTTAAATCTATGTAATAATCTTACCACAAGTTCCTGGAATTACCTGATTAACTCCCCTTTAAATCTATGTAATAATCTTACCACAAGTTCCTGGAATTACCTGATTAACTCCCCTTTAAATCTATGTAATAATCTTACCACAACTTCCTGGAATTACCTAATTAACTCCCCTTTAAATCTATGTAATAATCTTACCACAACTTCCTGGAATTACCTGATTAACTCCCCTTTAAATTTGTGTGATAATCTTACCACAACTTCCTGGAATTACCTGATTAACTCCCCTTTAAATCTATGTAATAATCTTACCACAACTTCCTGGAATTACCTGATTAACTCCCCTTTAAATCTATGTAATAATATTACCACAACTTCCTGGAATTACCTGATTAACTCCCCTTTAAATCTATGTAGTAATCTTACCACAACTTCCTGGAATTACCTGATTAACTCCCCTTTAAATCTATGTAATAATATTACCACAACTTCCTGGAATTACCTGATTAACTTCCCTTTAAATCTATGTAATAATCTTACCACAACTTCCTGGAATTACCTGATTAACTCCCCTTTAAATCTATGTAATAATCTTACCACAACTTCCTGGAATTACCTGATTAACTCCCCTTTGAATTTGTGTGATAATCTTACCACAACTTCCTGGAATTACCTGATTAACTCCCCTTAGAATTTGTGTGATAATCTTACCACAACTTCCTGGAATTACCTGATTAACTCCCCTTTAAATTTGTGTGATAATCTTACCACAAGTTCCTGGAATTACCTGATTAACTCCCCTTTAAATCTATGTAATAATCTTATCACAACTTCCTGGAATTACCTGATTAACTCCCCTTTGAATTTGTGTGATAATCTTACCACAAGTTCCTGGAATTACCTGATTAACTCCCCTTTGAATTTGTGTGATAATCTTACCACAAGTTCCTGGAATTACCTGATTAACTCCCCTTTGAATTTGTGTGATAATCTTACCACAAGTTCCTGGAATTACCTGATTAACTCCCCTTTGAATTTGTGTGATAATCTTACCACAAGTTCCTGGAATTACCTGATTAACTCCCCTTTAAATTTGTGTGATAATCTTACCACAAGTTCCTGGAATTACCTGATTAACTCCCCTTTAAATTTGTGTGATAATCTTACCACAAGTTCCTGGAATTACCTGATTAACTCCCCTTTAAATCTATGTAATAATCTTACCACAAGTTCCTGGAATTACCTGATTAACTCCCCTTTGAATTTGTGTGATAATCTTACCACAAGTTCCTGGAATTACCTGATTAACTCCCCTTTAAATTTGTGTGATAATCTTACCACAAGTTCCTGGAATTACCTGATTAACTCCCCTTTGAATTTGTGTGATAATCTTACCACAAGTTCCTGGAATTACCTGATTAACTCCCCTTTGAATTTGTGTGATAATCTTACCACAAGTTCCTGGAATTACCTGATTAACTCCCCTTTGAATTTGTGTGATAATCTTACCACAAGTTCCTGGAATTACCTGATTAACTCCCCTTTAAATCTATGTAATAATCTTACCACAAGTTCCTGGAATTACCTGATTAACTCCCCTTTGAATTTGTGTGATAATCTTACCACAAGTTCCTGGAATTACCTGATTAACTCCCCTTTGAATTTGTGTGATAATCTTACCACAAGTTCCTGGAATTACCTGATTAACTCCCCTTTAAATCTATGTAATAATCTTACCACAAGTTCCTGGAATTACCTGATTAACTCCCCTTTAAATCTATGTAATAATCTTACCACAAGTTCCTGGAATTACCTGATTAACTCCCCTTTAAATTTGTGTGATAATCTTACCACAAGTTCCTGGAATTACCTGATTAACTCCCCTTTAAATCTATGTAATAATCTTACCACAAGTTCCTGGAATTACCTGATTAACTCCCCTTTAAATCTATGTAATAATCTTACCACAAGTTCCTGGAATTACCTGATTAACTCCCCTTTAAATCTATGTAATAATCTTACCACAACTTCCTGGAATTACCCGATTAACTCCCCTTTAAATCTATGTAATAATCTTACCACAAGTTCCTGGAATTACCTGATTAACTCCCCTTTGAATTTGTGTGATAATCTTACCACAAGTTCCTGGAATTACCTGATTAACTCCCCTTTGAATTTGTGTGAAAATCTTACCACAAGTTCCTGGAATTACCTGATTAACTCCCCTTTGAATTTGTGTGATAATCTTACCACAAGTTCCTGGAATTACCTGATTAACTCCCCTTTGAATTTGTGAGATAATCTTACCACAAGTTCCTGGAATTACCTGATTAACTCCCCTTTAAATCTATGTAATAATCTTACCACAAGTTCCTGGAATTACCTGATTAACTCCCCTTTAAATCTACGTAATAATCTTACCACAAGTTCCTGGAATTACCTGATTAACTCCCCTTTGAATTTGTGTGATAATCTTACCACAAGTTCCTGGAATTACCTGATTAACTCCCCTTTAAATCTATGTAATAATCTTACCACAACTTCCTGGAATTACCTGATTAACTCCCCTTTAAATCTATGTAATAATCTTACCACAAGTTCCTGGAATTACCTGATTAACTCCCCTTTAAATTTGTGTGATAATCTTACCACAAGTTCCTGGAATTACCTGATTAACTCCCCTTTAAATCTATGTAATAATCTTACCACAACTTCCTGGAATTACCTGATTAACTCCCCTTTAAATCTATGTAATAATCTTACCACAACTTCCTGGAATTACCTGATTAACTCCCCTTTAAATCTATGTAATAATCTTACCACAAGTTCCTGGAATTACCTGATTAACTCCCCTTTAAATCTATGTAATAATCTTACCACAAGTTCCTGGAATTACCTGATTAACTCCCCTTTAAATTTGTGTGATAATCTTGCCACAAATTCCTGGAATTACCTGATTAACTCCCCTTTAAATCTATGTAATAATCTTACCACAACTTCCTGGAATTACCTGATTAACTCCCCTTTAAATCTATGTAATAATCTTACCACAACTTCCTGGAATTACCTGATTAACTCCCCTTTAAATCTAGGTAATAATCTTACCACAACTTCCTGGAATTACCTGATTAACTCCCCTTTAAATCTATGTAATAATCTTACCAGTAGTTCCTGGAATTACCTGATTAACTTCCCCTTTAAATCTACGTAATAATCTTACCACAAGTTCCTGGAATTACCGGATTAACTCCCCTTTAAATCTACGTAATAATCTTACCATAACTTCCTGGAATTACCTGATTAACTCCCCTTTAAATCTACGTAATAATCTTACCACAACTTCCTGGAATTACCTGATTAACTCCCCTTTAAATCTAAGTAATAATCTTACCACAAGTTCCTGGAATGACCTGATTAACTCCCCTTTAAATCTATGTAATAATCTTACCACAAGTTCCTGGAATTACCTGATTAACTCCCCTTTAAATCTACGTAATAATCTTACCACAAGTTCCTGGAATTACCTGATTAACTCCCCTTGAAATCTACGTAATAATCTTACCACAAGTTCCTGGAATTACCTGATTAACTCCCCTTTAAATCTACGTAATAATCTTACCACAACTTCCTGGAATTACCTGATTAACTCCCCTTTAAATCTACGTAATAATCTTACCACAAGTTCCTGGAATTACCTGATTAACTCCCCTTTAAATCTACGTAATAATCTTACCACAACTTCCTGGAATTACCTGATTAACTCCCCTTTAAATCTACGTAATAATCTTACCACAACTTCCTGGAATTACCTGATTAACTCCCCTTTAAATCTACGTAATAATCTTACCACAAGTTCCTGGAATTACCTGATTAACTCCCCTTTAAATCTATGTAATAATCTTACAACTTCCTGGAATTACCTGATTAACTCCCCTTTAAATCTATGTAATAATCTTACCACAACTTCCTGGAATAAGTGATAAATCGTCAATGGCTATATCGCTTGCCCAACCAGATCCACGAACACCTTCAATTGTTATCTGAAACAAGTCACAATGCAACACTGTATATATAAAGTTAAACTGCAATCATAATAGTATTTTGTCAAATTAATTCTTTCATGTTGCATTTTTCACATTTTATGTAGAAAATTCTTTGAAGTATACAATGTACTAATATTAAACTATTATCTGATATGTCAGAAATATGCCACAATAAGAAAAAGATGTATATCAAACCTATGCCACAATAAGAAAAAGCTGTATATCAAATCTAAGCCACAATAAGAAAAAGCTGTATATCAAACTTAGTTTATGAAGAATTTTCAACCTTGTACAGCTATTGTCTGTTAGCAGTGTATTTAAGGGCATATGATACAGTAGCACGGGCAGATAACAACGTTTTTCAAAATTTTTCTTGTTGTTTTCGCAACATTGTTTATCAGAACGTTGTAAGTTCGCGATGTTTCTAAAAAGAACAATTACATTTCGCGACATCGCTTTAGATGTAGTCACATTTGCGGAAAATCCACTGACGTTATAAATCTGGTTGCACGAATTTGAAAAAAAAGTACCTCTAAGAAAATCGGCCATATCGCGAGAATTGTTATATTTATTCATTAATAATGAAGTCAACAGTATTAACTTGAAATGTGAAAAAATCAAATCAACATTCATAATTTTGTATGTGTTTTGATGAGACAGACACTCAACAACACATAAGCCCAATAAGTAATCTAAATATCAATGTACTGTCTTGATTTGGCAAACTCTAAACCGTATGGAGAATTGTACGGATTAATTTAACAGAGACTATCAACAAAATGACAAAATAAGATGATAAATAAAGACAACGCCTCATACTGTTCCTGACTTTGAATAAGCACATCAAAAAGTTTAACGGAATTTTTAGAATTTAACCCAGTGGAATATATATGTGAATGAAGAACTGTCAGTTAAAAAGACACAGTTATAAGCCCTGTATTATAGATCAAAATAATAAACTGTTAACACAGAGATATGTCTCGCCTATTTGTTATTTTGATAAAGCAAATGTTGAAATAAAAATAGCAATACTTTAACATGTAAGATATGCAAATATTCAAGGTCAATGAACCATGACTGAAGGTACATGGCTAAACAATCTCCATGGAATGAGATGTGCCAATGCTAATACAACTGCATACCAAATACCATTGACTTATAATAAGTCGTTCCCTTTAAACATACCTAAACACAAACATTAACCTGTAAACTATGTAAAAGTTTCAAAGTCAATGAACCATGATCAGGGGTGGGGCTATATAATCTCCATGGAAACGATACATGCAAATGCCAATAAATTTGCATACCAAATATCATTGACTTACCATTAACAGTTCATCTTAAACTGATCTAATCACAAACTAATACATGTAAACTAAGCAAAAGTTTCAAAGTAAATAACCCATGACTGAGGGGGCGGGGCTAAATATTCTCCATGGAAATGAGATGTGCTAATGCTTATACAACTGAACACCAATTAACATTGGCTTACCACTAATGGTTCCCCTTGAACTGACCTAATCACAAACTAATACATGTTAACTTAGCAAAATTTTCAAAGTCTATCGACCATGACTAAGGGGGCTGAGCCAAATAATCTCCATGGAAATGAGATATGCCAATGCTTATACAACTGCATACCAAATGTCATTGACCTACCACTAGTGGTTCCCCATAAATTGACCTAATCACAAACTAATACATGTAAACTATGAAAAGTATCAAAGTCAATAGACCTTGACTGAGGGGGCGGGGCCAAATAATCTCCATGGTACTGAGATGTGCCAATGCTAATACAACTGCATACCAAATATCATTGACCTACCACTAGTGGATCACCATGAACTAGACCTAATCACAAACTAATACATTGTTGACGTCGCCGCCGCCACCACCGACGCCGGAAACAGCATACCTATGTCTCGCTTTTTGACTCCGTCAAGGCGAGACAAAAACTCAGGTAGTCTGTAGTCCAGAGTGATGAAAGTGACAACTAACAGTAATACACTGTATACACAGAGATGTCTTGCATTTTTGTAACTTTGATAGTAAATATAATGCAACTTTTTTTCAAATCAAAATGGCAATATCTACACATGATCACTACATAGTCTTCATGGAAATGAGATGTGCCAATGCTAATACAACTGCATACTGCTTAAATACAACCGCATACCACTTAAATACAACCGCATACTGCTTAAATACAACTGCATACCACTTACCGGTATAACATATCATGTCATTTCATTGACGTACCACTAGTTGTCCCCTTAAACTGACCTAATACATGTAAAACAACGGCAAGGTTTCAAAATCAATAGAACATGACTGAGGGGGCGGGCCAAATAATCTCCATGGAAATGAAATGTGCCAATGCTAATAAAACTGCATACCAAATATCATTGACCTGCCACTAGTGGTTCCCAATAAACTGACCTAATCACAAACTAATACATTGCAGATGCCCCTGCATGTGCAGCCACAGATGCTGGTAAAAGCGTGCCGTGCTTCGCTTTCTCGATTTTGGCGAAGCAATACTTATGTGTGCTGTTTGACTTCATCAAAGGAAGACAAAATTCAACCAAACAATTACCAAGAAAATTGTGACCTAATAAGGTGTTGTAGTCTAATAAGGTGTTAAGCACTATAGTCTCACAGTGTTAATGATTGATTGTTGGTTGCTTAACATCCAGTGGCCTCACAATGTTAAGATAGACAAAAGCAATAAAGAAACTTCTCTTTTCTTTTCTAAGACCTTTAAAAAAACAAAGCTTAAATCACCCTGGTTTTTGGTGGGGTTTTTGTTTATGTTTTTTTGTTTTTGTTGCTTAGTCTTTAGTTTTCTATGTTGCGTTTTGTAGACTAGTGTGTGTATTTTGGTAATTTTTTTTTTTGTTCTTTGGCATTGCATTGTGATCTTGTGGTAGTGTGTTTGCCTCAAGTGCGGGATGTCGTAGGTTTGTACACCCGCCGGGTCAAACCAAAGACTTTAAAATTAGTATTTGCTGCTTCTCCGCTAAGCACAGGGGATTAAGGAGTACGAGCAAAGACTAGTCGGCTCAGATTTAGAATAATGTGTCCGGGTAAGGTGACATGTCTTCCTGGGGACTGTTTCCTTGAGAACTAGCACTTTGAAAATCCGACTCACCATGTCTGCCTAGTACAGGGTTAATATTCATATTACATTAACACATTCTCGTACTGAATATACATATTAATTTGATACTGGACTTTAAAGTGGTACCTAACACTACAGGGAGATAACTCTGTAAAAATCAGCTAAACGTTTTAATTACGTTGTATTGTTAAGGAAATATTAAGCTTCTCAATGATCAAAATCAGTGTTTGTCAAACTGCTATATAACCAACGAAATTTTTCTGATAAAGTGGTGGGTTCAAATTTTTTGAATTTTTTATATTTTTGTCAAAGGGTCAAAGTAAACATTTTGTCAAAATTTTATGAAAATTAAACGAGCCAAATTAATATTAGTCAAGGTGTTGGGTACCACCTTAATTTGACGCTGGACTTTTAAGCAGCCACCCATCATAATCATCTATCACAGAAGCTGCTTACCTTAAGACCATCAATGGCAGGTATATCTACTTCTCCTTTAATCCAATCATTGCCTTTAGCTCCAGACTGTATCCATATATAAGTTTTTGCTGTATTTGTTCCCTCAGTGTGTATACTTAAGGTACCCATATCAGAACCCTTCATGTGATAATAAAACTTCATACAGCGGCTAGTAGCTACAATGTATAAGATTACACATTCACTAAGTATTTCTGAAGAAATAGTGGTATAAAATTATCAACTACACATTCACTAAGTATGAGAACTTAATAACATATGATAGAAGATGTCATCAATAAATAATCAAAGTCCCATAACTCCTACATTAACAGTCAAATCAAAATGGCAGTATGGTATGGTCAACTATAACCAAGTTTGATAGTTTTCAGTCAAAGAGTCATGATATAAAGTGTTCAAAATTTGTCATTATTCTACAAAAGAATTTTATTTAGTAATATCAGCTTCATACAGGGATCTATGCCTTCAAAGCAATGTGCTAAAACAGATTCCTGTCTGCCACATACACCATTCCATGGCAGCATAATGACACTGACAAAAACAAATTCTTAGAGGATTTTTGTGCTTGACTTTTTTATTTGATCTTTTCACTAAAAATTGTGTGGAACTAAAATTGGTTTTAACATTCTGTGGAATTTGCCATTTCAGAATCTGATGAATTCTGGGTAATATTTTTAAAAGTGAACATCAAAAAGTTTTGATTGGCTAACAACATCATAATCACTGGAAATTCAACCAATGATATTTCATTATTTTTTTGGGGGGTAGAAAAAATGAAATTACCCTTAGTCACTTAAATTCTGAAAGGTGAATTGTTTGTCATTTCTAAGTGACTGCTACACTCTTGTAATTTTTTCTTATCTTACTAGATAACTGTAAAGTTGTAGACATCACAGCTTTATCACCAGGCATTAGGTTCCCTCCTGATGCCTCTAAATACACGTACTGGAATCCTTCTTGAGCATTGTCAGGTCCCGTATTGCTTGATGGTGTGCCTTGCTATTTATTAAAAAATATGGTAATAAAAATAATGCAATTCATTCAAAAAACAATTTTGATTGGACATTATCAAACATTGTGAGGGAGCACATTTTATAGCTGTCAGTACAAACTAAAATTCAGTTGAACTGCAATACCTTCGTCATTTTCAGTTACTTGGAACAATAATATATTTATAGAGTCAAGTATTCTGACAATAAATAGCTAGTAAATCTATTTAGTGTCTTCTATATTTTTTCCCATATGTATTTATGACTTAAAAGTTTCTCTATTATGATATAAATAAACCTCTCATTTCAAAGTTTGAAAATTCAACTATCTTGATTAAATATATATTGAATTCATTGGGGTGGTATGGTAAAATCTATATTTATCTAAAAAAGAAAAAGAAACTTATACAATCATCAAAAACTATCTTATTCTATTTATAATCTATTTTTAAGCCTCTTATAGATAAAAGTTTTCGATTGAAGTGATTTGAATTAAGAGTTATTTCCCTTTGTTGTAAAGTTGAAAGGTAATGTACACAAATTCCTTCATGAATCAACCAAATTCAAATGGTTACAGTTCTTGGATGGTGTAAACTTTCCACTAACACCATACACCATTACACCATACACTCTGTGCCATTACACCATACACGTTACACCTTTGCACCATACACCTTACACATTACACCATAATGCAATTTAATTTCAAAGAAAGTGTGTGACTACAAAATTATTTATTTATTTTAAAAAACGAATTTGATCACAATATTGTAAGTTAATGTATAAAATAAAAAATCAGTTCTTATCAATATTTTGCATAGCTTTAAATGTCGTACACCATTCATGATTGCACATTACACCATTACACCATAGCACCATACACCTTCTACCATTGCAACATATGCCATACACCATTACACCATACATGTTTTTTTGGGAAGTTTACACCATCCAAGGGCTGTACACTGACCAAGTATAAGACTAGACTTTTGAAAAAGATGTTTTCTGAACAATTTTAATTTGTTTGAGCCTTGTATAATTCAACCAGTTTGCCCTCCAATATGGGGCCAAAGGGAAACAACTTCAACTTAATGTATGTCTGACATACTAAAAACTATTTATAGAAGACTATATATAATGATCATATCAATTGTTCTATCCTGCCTCTCAATTTGTATTCAGAACTCCTCCCTCTCTATTTGTATTCAGAACTCCTCCTCTCTGTTTGTATTCAGAACTCCTTCCTCACTATTTGTATTCAGAACTCCTCCCTCTCTATTTGTATTCAGAACTCCTCCCTCTCAATTTGTATTCAGAACTCCTCCCTCTCTATTTGTATTCAGAACTCTATTATAGTTTTCACCATTATAGGCGAAAATGCAAAAAATTGGGAAAGGTCTATATTAAAGGGCAATAACTTTAAAAACTAGAGGCTCTCAAGAGCCTGTGTCGCTCACCTGTATTTACTGATGCTTTGGAAATCATGTAAAATAAGGTTAAAATCATAATTAATAGTATTAGATATTAGACATTAAAATGATATCTAAGATAATAACAAAAAACTGCAAAATTTTTGTAAAATAATTAACTCAGGGGCAGCAACCCAACAACGGGTCGTCGGATTTGTCCGAAAATTTCAGGGCAGATAAATATAAATCTGATGAACATTTTTGCCACCTGTCAGATTTGCTCTAAATGCTTTAGTTTCAGAGATATAAACCAAAAACTGCATTTTACCCCTATGTTCTATTTTTAACTAAGTTGACCATGATGGTTGGAAGGCGGGGTCATCAGACAAATTTTTTAAACTAGATACCCTAATAATGATTATGGCCAAGTATGGTTAAATTTGTCTCAGTAGTTTCAAAGAAGAAGATTTTTGTAAAAGATTACAAAAATTTACGAAAAATTGTTAAAAATTGACAATTAAGGGCAATAACTCCTAAAGGGGTCGACTGACAATTTTGGTCATGACAACTTATTTGTAGATCTTACTTTGCTGAACATTATTGCTGTTTACAGTTTATCTCTATCTATAATAATATTCAAGATAATAACCAAAAACAGCAAAATTTCCTTAAAATTACCAATTCAGGGGCAGCAACCCAACAACAGGTTGTCAGATTTGTCTGAAAATTTGAGGGCAGATAGATCTTGACCTGATAATCAGTTTTACCCTTTGTCAGATTTACTCTAAATGCTTTGGTTTCAGAGATATAAGCCAAAATCTACATTTTACCCCTATGTTCTATTTTCAACCATGGCGGCCATCTTGGTTGGTTGGCGGGGTCATCGGACACATTTTTTAAACTAGATACCCTAATGATGATTGTGGCCAAGTTTGGTTAAATTTGGCCCAGTGGTTTCAGAGGAGAAGATTTTTGTAAAAAGCTAACGACGACGGACGACGGATGCCAAGTGACGGGTCAGGTGAGCTAATGAGTTGACTTATGATTTCGGTCATGTTGGATTATTTGTAGATCGTGACTTGTTGACTAATTTGGCTTTTTAAAGTTTCTATCTATTTATCATTTACACCACAAAAACAAAGAGGTCCAATTTGTTAGCCAACATCACGTAAAAATGAGGAATCAAAGAATTCAACTGTATATATAACTATTAAATATAGGACAATGGTGTTGATTAAAAGTTACACCATTCCAGGCCCTTCTGTTTTCCACATAATTAATGTAATGTTCTAGAAGTTTATAAGATATTGGACAAAAAATTGGTAAAAATTGTCCAATAATGAGTCGTCTAATGATTTCGACCATGTTGACATACTTGTAGATCTTTTCTTGCTGATCATTTTTTATCGTTAAGTTTCTCTCTGTCTACCATAATTTTTATAATATTAGGTAAAAACGAAAATAAATGTAAAAATTTGAAATTTACTGGCAATAACTCCTATAAGAAGTCGTCACACAGTTTTGACATAAATGGAGAGCCTGTAGATTACATCATTCTAAACTTTTCTGCCCCTGTCAGATTTTCTCTATTCAGAAACTAAATACCCAAATAATGATTGTGGCCAAGTTTGATTAACTTTGGCCCAGTAGATTCAGAAGGAGATTCTTGTAAAAGTTAATGACAATGATGATGGAAAATGACAAACACCACGTGAGCTAAAAAGGGATAGACAATCTGCAATCCCTGTTTAAATATAAAAATAAGAAGTTGTGGTATAAATGCCAACGAGACAATTCTCCACAAAGAGACCAAATGACACAGAAATTGAATTAAATGACCGTATTTCAAAGAATAAATTCCCTACAATCCATTCAAAAATGAAAACAACACTTTATAAATTTCATGGGTCTCCAGTGCTTTTCTGGATTTACCTTCATCAGGAACGCTCAACGCCGAATATTTGAAAGTCAAGGCTGTATAAGAACCACAAAACAGTTGAAGAGCTATATGACCAAAAAAGACATAAAACTAGAGGCTCTAAAGAGCCTGTGTCGCTAACCTTGTTCTATGTGCATATTCAACAACTGACACTCTCCAACATTGTAGACGAGAATAGAATTCATGACAAGAAATCTCTGTTTTGTTGATCTTGTATTGCTGATAATTAAATTTGTTTAGTTTCTCTCTATCTTCTTTAGATTTTACTCAAAACACAAAAGAGGGTAAAAAAAATCCTCATTTAAGGGCAATCACTTCTATAAAGAGTGACAGTCTATATCGGCAAAATTTGACTTGTTAGTAGATCTTGCCTTGATGATTGTGGCCAAGTTTGGTTAAATTTGGTCCAGTAGTTTCAGAGGAGAAGATTTCTATAAAAGCTAACAGACGACTACGGATGCCAAGTGAGGAGAAAACCTCACTTGGCCCTTTGGTGAGCAAATTTTTTTTTTTTTATAAAAATGCATATTATGCTAAACTTACACTGTTAGAGTTCCAATTTATCACATTACTTGGTTCATTCTCAAAAATACAGCTTTCTCCATACTCAAATGTACAATGAATTGAAGAGGAGGCTAAAAATAATAAAAGTCATGGTTACTATTCCAATAAAACACAAATAACATCACAGGGTGCACTGAGGGTATCATTTTGTTTGACAGGGTGCATGGAGGGTATTATTTTGTTCGACAGGGTGCATCAAGGGTATTATTTTGTTTGAGAGGGTGCATCGAGGGTATCATTTTGTTTGACAAGAGGGTATTTTGTTTGACAGGGTGCATCAAGGGTATCATTTTGTTTGACAGGGTGAATTAAGGGTATTATTTTGTTTGACAGGGTGCATTGAGGTTATTATTTTGTTTGGCAGGGTGCATCAAGGGTATCAGTTTGTTTGACACAGTGTATCTAGGGTATCATTTTGTTTGACAGGGTGCATCAAGGGTATTATTTTGTTTGAGAGGGTGCATTGAGGGTATTATTTTGTTTGAGAGGGTGCATTGAGGGTATCATTTTGTTTGACAAGAGGGTATTTTGTTTGACAGGGTGCATCAAGGGTATCATTTTGCTTGACAGGGTGTATCAAGTGTATTATTTTGTTTGACCTTGACAGGGTGCAACAAGGGTATGATTTTGCTTGACAGGGTGCATCAAGGGTATTATTTTTCATTAAAATTTGAACTTCTTGTTTTAGATTTTCACTAATTATTTGTCCAAGTTGAGGTAATACAAAACTATACACACTCATCTCATATTCTTTGGAATTCAAAGTACAAAATTCTGGAATAGATTTTTATCTCATTTCGAGAAAGGTTTTTATTTTAAAAACAATAACAGAACAATTGCTAACCAAGTAACTAAAGGCTCCAAAGAGCCTCTTTTGCTCACCTGCATCTTCAACAATGGTCACTTTTTACGAGGAAAACTCAATTAAGAGCTAACTGACAATTTCAGTCATGTTGACATATTTATAAATCTTATCCTGCTGATAATTTTTCCTTTGAAAAGTTTCTATTTACCTATTATAGTTTTCAAAATAATAGGCCAAAAATGCAAAAAAAATTAAAAATTATCATTAAACAGCAATAACTCCAAAACAAGTGGACTGAAGATTTCTGTCATTATGGCTTATTCATAGATCTTGTCTTGCTGATCATTTGTGCTTCATACAGTTTCTATCTATCTATTACAATAGGCACAATGGGACAAATCATCATTAAAGGGCAATAACTTCACTAAGGAGTCGACTAACGATTTGGTCATGTTGACCTATTTGTAGATCTTGTCTTACTGATCATTTATGTTTGTATTGTTTCCATCTATCTATTATAGTTTTTTAAGATATATATAAGAATGTGTCCATAGTACACGGATGCCACACTCGCACTATCATAGGTAACATGTGTACAAAGTTTCAAGTTGATTGAATTCAACTTCATCAAAAACTACCTTGACCAAAAACTTGAACCTGAAGCAGGACAGACGGACAAACGAACAGATGCACAGAACGAAAAAACATAATGCCCCTAAGTGGGGCATAAAAATGTAAAAAATTGGTAAAATTCTTCATTAAAGGGCAATCATTCTAATGAAGAGTCATCTGACGAATTTTGTCATTTCATTTTCTGGTAGATTTTGTCTTTCTGATTATTTTTGCTTTTAAAGTTTCAGTCTATCTATTATGATTTTCGAGATATGAAAAAAAAATTAAAAATGGTAAAATTCATCACTGAAGGGCACTCCTATAAGAAGTCGTCAGACAGTTTAGACTCAAATAGGCAATAGGTATAGTACAGCTCAACATTCTGAACATTTTTGCTTATGTCAAAATTCCTCTATGCATAGCAGTTTTCAAAATAACAGGCAAAAATTGCATTTTACCCCAGGGCTATGTTCAATTTTTAGCCATGTTGGCCATCTTGGTTGGCAACTGGGGGAAACAGACACATTTTTTAAATTAAATTAAAATTTTGTTGAGAAGGAATAGACGACAAAGGAGGATGACGGACGCAAAGTGATGAGAAAAGTTCACTTGGCCTTTCAGTCAGGTGACCTAAAAACAGTTAACAACAGTACCAGTAACATAATACTCACTGCTAAATTGATCACAGTTTGTCCCTGATACACCTTGGTTACATGTACATGTATAGGTACTGGTACCCTCAGGGCTGCTGCATTTTCCATATACACAAGGGAGGCTGACACATCCTGAAAAATAATACCAGTCATCAACAACTTCAATTGGATTATTCTATAATAAACCTTTTAATATTTCATGATTAAAATTATTGAGAAACGTATTTTACTCATGCACATGTCAAATTGATCATTTACCTACCAGTGAGCTGGTAAATGGTACATGAAAATGACAAGAGTGCACACACTGAAATGTCTCGCCTTCTTTACTTATCATTGATATTATGTTGATAGTCCTAAATATAAAGCTTTATTACAACTGTCACATAAACTTATTATTAACCAAGTTAACTAAACATTGACCAATGAACCATGAAAATGAGGTCAAGGTCAGATGAACCATGCTAGGCAGGCCATACAACAAATATAGTTGACCTATTGCTTTTAGTTTAAGAAAAACAGACCAAAACACAAAAACTTAACACTGAACAATGAACCTTGAAAATGAGGTCAAGGTAAAAAAAAAAAACTGTGTGACTGACAAATAGATCATAAAATATTTCCATACACCAAATATAGTTGAACTATTGCATATAGTATTAGAAAAAAAGACCAAAACTCAAAAAATTAACTTTGACCACTGAACCATGAAAATGAGGTCAAGGTCAGATGACACCTGCCAGTTGGACATGTACACCTTACAGTCCTTCCATACACCGAATATACTAGACCTATTGCTTATAGTATCTGAGATATGGACTTGACCACCAAAACTTAACCTTGTTCACTGATCCATGAAATGATGTCGAGGTCAAGTGAAAACTGTCTGACGGGCATGAGGACCTTGCAAGGTACGCACATACCAAATAGAGTTATCCTATTACTTATAATAAGAGAGAATTTAACATTACAAAAAATCTGAACTTTTTTTTCAAGTAGTCACTGAACCATGAAAATGAGGTCAAGGACATTGGACATGTGACTGACAGAAACTTCGTAACATGAGGCATCCATATACAAAGTATGAAGCATCCAGACCTTCCACCTTCTAAAATATAAAGCTTTTAAGAAGTTAGCTAACGCCGCCGCCGCCGCCGGATCACTATCCTTATGTCGAGCTTTCTGCGACAAAAGTCGCAGGCTCGACAAAAATGCAGGTCATGATCTGAATAGAGGAAAAAATGTCAGGTCATAACGTGTACAAACTTTTTTCGGTTGAATTTAAGAATTTATAGAATTTTTTTAATAATCTATAATGTGTACAATATAGAATTGTGAAGTATTTACTGCAAATTATTCAAAATTTCAATTTAATGGTTTCATTTCATCTTCATTGTATTTGTTAAATATTTATTATTTATCAACTATCAATATAAAGCAATGCCCTCTAATTGTTTCATTCAGACTATTTTTTATTAATGAATTCTATAAACCCCAAGTTATTTTAAGAAATCAGCTATAGCTAGTGCTCCTATACATAGAAGGAAGATTAAGAGAAAGAAGAATGTATTGTTGTTCACATTCTGTGCAGTCCCAAGTATAGCACATGGATTTTTAGTGACAACAAATATAAATGGTTAAAAATATTTTAGGGACATGTATCTCTCAAACAGATATGTATAATAAGGGTTTAAATTGTTTTAAAATGATTTTAATAGTATAATTGATATTTGCAAACTGTAAATATTATAAACCAGGACATAAAATTGTATGTCAAGCTTAACAGGCTTCAGCCTTTCTTGGGTACAATTGACCATATAACTAGCTAATTTTTATTGCTTTACAATCAAAAGTGTCAAAATTATAATTGGATAGCTGTAAATCATTCAACTGAGAGCAAATTATCAACTTCCTGTCTCGAAAAGATTTCTAATTTTGCATTTTTCAGAAGAAATTTTAGCATTTTAGACATTGGAAGTCTCATGGCACTAGAATACGGGTAAAAATGGGTCACACATTGATATCCTAGGTTGTTTGATAATCTAGGCAGGTCATTACTAAATCTGTAATGAGATGGTAAATTTGTGGGTCACACCCACAAAATACATGTCAATTAACAGGTATGCTTAAACAACAACAATTGATGCCATGTGATGGCAATAGAGCACATGGCCAATAGAGTCATGTGGCCTTAATATCCAAATTTAAAAAAAAAATATATTCAAGAGATCTTTTATTAAGCGTTTCCATTTAAAAACTCATCTTGCAGATATAGACTCATATCATTAAACTTGTGTATCAATCATTCAATTATTTCATGAACAAGAAAATGTTACAAGCATATGATGGATGGACATGTAAAGCCTACAACTAAACCACCTTCCCAGTACCGTAAGTGGCTTACAATATAGCCTACAACTAAACCATCTTCCCAGTACTGCAAGAAGCTTATAATGTAGAGATACCTTCACTTGTAAATACAAACCATTTCCCATTGATGTAACTTTAATGGAGAATCCTTTTGATGCTGCCGCAGATGAGTATGTGTTACTGTCAAATCTAATTATCATGGCATTGCTTAGCTCATCTGGTGTACTGTCCCATACTTCTACATCAGCATTAAAGTTTGTACCACATACCCTGTATTATAAAAATATACACTAAAAAGATGAGGATGTGGTCAAACTGTCCTAAATCCATAGTTTTTTAAAAGATATCCTAGTCTGATATTTCATAATTTTTACACTTTGGACCATTCTGTCCCAATAAATTATATCTCTACTCCAACCAACAATACTCACTTTGAACCTTTCTGTCCCTATAAATTATGTCTATACTCCAACCAACAATACTCACTTTGGACCTTTCTGTCCATATAAATTATGTCTATACTCCAACCAACAATACTCACTTTGGACCTTTCTGTCCCAATAAATTATATCTCTACACTAACCAATAATACTCACTTTGGACCTTTCTGTCCCAATAAATTATATTTCTACTTCAACCAACAATACATCCTTTGGACCATTCTGTCCCAATAAATTATATCTATATTCCAACCAACAATACTCACTTTGGACCTTTCTGTCCCAATAAATTATATCTCTACTTCAACCAACAATACACACTTTGGACCTTTCTGTCCTAATAAATTAAATCTCTACTCCTACCAACAATACTCACTTTGGACCTTTCTGTCCCAATAAATTATATCTCTACACTAACCAATAATACTCACTTTGGACCTTTCTGTCCCAATAAATTATATCTCTACTTCAACCAACAATACACACTTTGGACCATTCTGTCCCAATAAATTATATCTATATTCCAACCAACATTACTCACTTTGGACCTTTCTGTCCCAATAAATTATATCTCTACTTCAACCAACAATACACACTTTGGACCTTTCTGTCCTAATAAATTATATCTCTACTCCAACCAATAATACCCACTTTGGACCTTTCTGTCCCAATAAATTATGTCTATACTCCAACCAACAATACTCACTTTGGACCTTTCTGTCCCAATAAATTATATCTCTACTTCAACCAACAATACACACTTTGGACCATTCTGTCCCAATAAATTATATCTATATTCCAACCAACAATACTCACTTTGGACCTTTCTGTCCCAATAAATTATATCTCTACTCCAACCAATAATACCCACTTTGGACCTTTCTGTCCCAATAAATTATATCTATATTCCAACCAACAATACTCACTTTGGACCTTTCTGTCCCAATAAATTATATCTCTACTTCAACCAACAATACACACTTTAGACCTTTCTGTCCTAATAAAATATATCTCTACTCCAACCAACAATACTCACTTTGGACCTTTCTGTCCCAATAAATTATATCTCTACACTAACCAATAATACTCACTTTGGACCTTTCTGTCCCAATAAATTATATCTCTACTTCAACCAACAATACACACTTTGGACCATTCTGTCCCAATAAATTATATCTATATTCCAACCAACAATACTCACTTTGGACCTTTCTGTCCCAATAAATTATATCTCTACTTCAACCAACAATACACACTTTGGACCTTTCTGTCCTAATAAATTATATCTCTACTCCAACCAACAATACTCACTTTGGACCTTTCTGTCCCAATAAATTATATCTCTACTTCAACCAACAATACACACTTTGGACCTTTCTGTCCTAATAAATTATATCTCTACTCCAACCAATAATACCCACTTTGGACCTTTCTGTCCCAATAAATTATGTCTATATTCCAACCAACAATACTCACTTTGGACCTTTCTGTCCCAATAAATTATATCTCTACACTAACCAATAATACTCACTTTGGACCTTTCTGTCCCAATAAATTATATCTCTACTTCAACCAACAATACATCCTTTGGACCATTCTGTCCCAATAAATTATATCTATATTCCAACCAACAATACTCACTTTGGACCTTTCTGTCCAAATAAATTATATCTCTACTTCAACCAACAATACACACTTTGGACCTTTCTGTCCTAATAAATTATATCTCTACTCCAACCAACAATACTCACTTTGGACCTTTCTGTCCCAATAAATTATATCTCTACACTAACCAATAATACTCACTTTGGACCTTTCTGTCCCAATAAATTATATCTCTACTTCAACCAACAATACACACTTTGGACCATTCTGTCCCAATAAATTATATCTATATTCCAACCAACATTACTCACTTTGGACCTTTCTGTCCCAATAAATTATATCTCTACTTCAACCAACAATACACACTTTGGACCTTTCTGTCCTAATAAATTATATCTCTACCCCAACCAATAATACCCACTTTGGACCTTTCTGTCCCAATAAATTATGTCTATACTCCAACCAACAATACTCACTTTGGACCTTTCTGTCCCAATAAATTATATCTCTACACTAACCAATAATACTCAGTTTGGACCTTTCTGTCCCAATAAATTATATCTATACTCCAACCAACAATACTCACTTTGGACCTTTCTGTCCCAATAAATTATATCTATATTCCAACCAACAATACTCACTTTGGACCTTTCTGTCCCAATAAATTATATCTCTACTTCAACCAACAATACACACTTTGGACCTTTCTGTCCTAATAAATTATATCTCTACTCCAACCAACAATACTCACTTTGGACCTTTCTGTCCCAATAAATTATATCTCTACTTCAACCAACAATACACACTTTGGACCATTCTGTCCCAATAAATTATATCTATATTCCAACCAACAATACTCACTTTGGACCTTTCTGTCCCAATAAATTATATCTCTACTTCAACCAACAATACACACTTTAGACCTTTCTGTCCTAATAAAATATATCTCTACTCCAACCAACAATACTCACTTTGGACCTTTCTGTCCCAATAAATTATATCTCTACACTAACCAATAATACTCACTTTGGACCTTTCTGTCCCAATAAATTATATCTCTACTTCAACCAACAATACACACTTTGGACCATTCTGTCCCAATAAATTATATCTATATTCCAACCAACAATACTCACTTTGGACCTTTCTGTCCCAATAAATTATATCTCTACTTCAACCAACAATACACACTTTGGACCTTTCTGTCCTAATAAATTATATCTCTACTCCAACCAATAATACCCACTTTGGACCTTTCTGTCCCAATAAATTATGTCTATATTCCAACCAACAATACTCACTTTGGACCTTTCTGTCCCAATAAATTATATCTCTACACTAACCAATAATACTCACTTTGGACCTTTCTGTCCCAATAAATTATATCTCTACTCCAACCAACAATACTCACATTGGACCTTTCTGTCCCAATAAATTATATCTCTACTCTAACCAATAATACTCACTTTGGGCCTTTCTGTCCCAATAAATTATATCTATATTCCAACCAATGACTGCATGTAGCACCAGAAGATATATCCATGTACTGTACTGAGGCTCTTACTAAGCTATTAGCCGTTCCCTGAAGAAAAAAAAACAAGAATGCTTCACAAGCGCAGTTCTACCTTAAAGTTAACACTATAGACCACCGACATTTAATAGATGGATGGTATGGTGAGTTTTACCACAGAACAGACATTATTTTCCTTTGAAAACCAAGCACACTTTAAACATGTAGAATAGTTGGATCAATAGTTTAGTGATTTCACCAGAAAATAATTTTTAACCACATATACACAAGTCTAAAAGGATAGCTGGGTGAAGAGTTTTATTATTTCACCAGATGACAACTCTTACCCTAATCAACCAAGAAATTCTATCCCTGTTGGATACTCTTACCCTAATCAACCAAGTACATTCTAGCCCTTTTGGATACTCTTATCCTAATCAACCAAGTACATTCTAACCCTGTAGGACACTCTTACCCTAATCAACCAAGTACATTCTATCCCTGTTGGACACTCTTACCCTAATCAACCAAGTACATTCTAACCCTGTTGGATACTCAAAACCCTAACCAACCAAGAACATTCTAGCCCTGTTGGATATTCTTACCCTAATCAACCAAGTACATTCTAGCCTTAATGGATACTCTTACCCTAATCAACCAAGTACATTCTAGCCCTGTTGGACACTCTTACCCTAATCAATCAAGTACATTCTAACACTGTTGGATACTCTTACTCTAATCAACCAAGTACATTCTATCCCTGTTGGACACTCTTACCCTAATCAACCAGGTACATTCTAACCCTGTTGCACACTCTTACTCAAATCAACCAAGTACATTATAGCCCTGTTGAATACTCTTACCCTAATCAACCAAGCACATTCTAGCCTTGTTGGACACTCTTACTCTAATCAACCAAGTACATTCTAACCCTGTTGGATACTCTTACCCTAATCAACCAAGTACATTCTAGCCTTGTTGGACACTCTTACCCTAATCAACCAGGTACATTCTAACCCTGTTGGACACTCTTACTCAAATCAACCAAGTACATTCTAGCCCTGTTGAATATTCTTACCCTAATCAACCAAGCACATTCTAACCCTGTTGGACACTCTTACCCTAATCAACCAAGTACATTCTAGCCTTGTTGGACACTCTTACCCTAATCAACCAGGTACATTCTAACCCTGTTGGACACTCTTACTCAAATCAACCAAGCACATTCTAACCCTGTTGGACACTCTTACCCTAATCAACCAAGCACATTCTAGCCTTGTTGGACACTCTTACTCAAATCAACCAAGCACATTCTAACCCTGTTGGACACTCTTACTCAAATCAACCAAGCACATTCTAACCCTGTTGGACACTCTTACCCTAATCAACCAAGCACATTCTAGCCTTGTTGGACACTCTTACTCTAATCAACCAAGTACATTCTAACCCTGTTGGATACTCTTACCCTAATCAACCAAGTACATTCTAGCCTTGTTGGACACTCTTACCCTAATCAACCAGGTACATTCTAACCCTGTTGGACACTCTTACTCAAATCAACCAAGTACATTCTAGCCCTGTTGAATACTCTTACCCTAATCAACCAAGCACATTCTAACCCTGTTGGACACTCTAACCCTAATCAACCAAGTACATTCTAGCCTTGTTGGACACTCTTACCCTAATCAACCAGGTACATTCTAACCCTGTTGGACACTCTTACTCAAATCAACCAAGTACATTCTAGCCCTGTTGAATACTCTTACCCTAATCAACCAAGCACATTCTAGCCTTGTTGGACACTCTTACTCAAATCAACCAAGTACATTCTAGCCCTGTTGGATAGTTAATGAATAGTTTGGTCATTTCAGCAATTAACAAAATTCTTTATTTAACCAAGAACATTATAGCCCTGTTGGACAGTTGAATGAATAATTTGGGGATTTCACCAGATAAACAAATTCTTATTTTAATAAACCAAGAATATTCTAGCCCTGTTGACGTTGGATAGTTGGTTGAACAGCTTGATTACTTCACCAGGTGACAATTCCTACCTTAATCAACCAAGTACATTCTAGCCCTGTTGGATAGTTAGATGGATAGTTTGGTGATTCAATAATTCTTTCTTCTCCTACACCAAGGGTGATAACTCCTCCACAAGTTTCTAAAATAAATCAATTTATAATCTATTCTAGGTAATGCTCAAGTTAAGAATTCATATGGTTATATCTTTTTAAAACAAACACAACACATCAACCTATTTTAACTCCCACTCACCTTCTATTTTAACCCCCCCCCCCCCCCCCCCCCCTTTCAGTTATCTTATGTTTAACACACTTTCTTATAAATGTATTAAATTACGTTATCTAAAAACAAATCTCAGTCTCCAAAATCAATATAAATTTTAGATCCACTTTCTTTAATTAACTTAAATATAATTTGCAGTTTTCTGTATACCTGGCAGTATGCTTTCAACTTGAAATTACTCACATTAATAGACTCAAATATTGTGTCCATAATCTTTCTTTTTGTAAAACAGTCTTGCTTATCTTTGAGTTTTAGCACCCCATTATTCTCCATTCTTTATTATTTTTTATTGTAGTTAATAAACCATTTTTTTAAGACGTTTCGGCCACTGGCCTTCTTCATATTATTTTTTAATATTTTTGTCATTTTATCTCCATTCTTTGTTCTTATATGGCTCATTCCTTATTCTGAAAACCCCATTCAGACCCTTATCTATGTCTCAAGCTAGAAGGATATGCCACCTTTTGCGGCAATTTATACCACTGCAGTCGTTTTGGGCCAATTGCTATTTTCAAGATGTATCATTTGCACCAAATATTATTTTTCAAAGGTATCAATTGCACCATTTTACAGAATTCATAATCGCCACTTTACCTGTACTTATATTTATTGTACATGATTATCCTAAATGAAATATGGTGCTATAAAAAGAATAACTTATAGAATTAGGGACTGTTGTTGCAAGATAAGCCAAAATAATGAGAAAGTAGAAGCTTGATTATGTGTTGACCACATATCTTGTTGACCACATATCTTGTTGACCACATATCTTGATGACTATGCTTTGTTTCCACACCCGTATGGACTGAAACTCCATCAATCTTGAGCTGCACTAATAATGGACCAGAGGCATTTCATTAGCAATACAATGAACTTTTTTTTTTCATTGCACCCATCTTAGTATATTTGTTATTTTTTGACTATATCGTAAATTTTCAAGTCTCTACTTACATTAAACTGCACAATGCTATTTCAACAACAGTTTATCATATACTGAAGCTCAATTGGAACAAGAATGTGTCCATAGTACACAGATGCCCCACTTGCACTATCATTTTCTATGTTCAGTGGACAGTGAAATTGGGATCAAAACTCTAATTTGGCATTAAAATTAGAAATATCATATCATAGGGAACATGTGTACTAAGTTTCAAGTTGAATGGACTTCAACTTCATCAAAAACTACCTTGACCAAAAACTTTAACCTGAAGCAGGACAGATGGACAAACAGAAGGACGGACGAACGAACAGACGCACAGACCGAAAAACATAATGCCCCTCTACTATATATCGTAGGTGGGGCACAAAAATTACCTGATAGGCAATGCAACCATAGATTAATAAATCTTTTTCATTAAATTTCAAATAAACTGTTCACACAGAGATATGTCTCGCCTATCGGCATAAAATTCAGAAAAAGACAATCTGATGGACAGCAACATTACTTATTAATTCAGTCACTGGACCATGATCTAGTGGGTCGACAAACTGAGATGTACAGACAGTAATGTAACTTTATAGAAAATGTCGTTGTTTATTGTAAGTAGTTCCTATCAATATAACTTAAACAGATAAACTTAACTTTGAAAATTGCTAATTAATTCAAAGTTACTGGACCATGACAAAGGGGACAGGACCTCGAAAAAGTCGTCAAACTGATATGCACTAATAGTAATGCAACTTTTTATTAAATATCAATGATCTATCACAAGTAGTTCCTATCAAACTAACTTAAGCAGAAAAAATAACATTGAAAATTGCTAATTAAATCAAAGTCACTGGACCATGCATGTCCTAGGGGGGCAGGGTCTCAAAATAGTCGTCAAACTGATTTGTAATGATAGTGATGTGACTTCATACAAAATATGAAATGATCTATCACAAGTAGTTCCTATCAATCTAACTGAAGCAGAAAACTTAACAATTGTTGACACAGGAGCCAGAGCCAGAGCCATCATTGTCATCATCGCCAGAAAAGCAATCCCTATGTCTCGCTTTCTGCGACTTTCATCGCAGGCAAGACTAAAAAACTCTAGAGTATTTAAGAGAAGTAATGCCTGATTCAGTGGGAAGTAGACATGATAATTATACAAGATAAAAGAAATAATATTACACAATCTACACACAGACCTGTTCGTGAATACTTTATCCATACAACAAGAAGACAAATGCCAGTTCATTGCTTTTTATCAACATAATTTAACACAGTCATATATTTTATTTTTGTATAAGAGTTTGTCCTTACAGCTGTTTTAGTCTGGTTTATACAACCTGTTCACTTTTCTCTAACATATATTGTTTGACATTCAAGCCACAAAATTATGGAACTTATGTTTCCTGGCTCATATATAATACATAAAAAGTAATTTCCCCAAATATACTGTGGATTAAAAATTGTTGCATAAATTAATTATGCAGGTTAGTTTATTATCAATCAGAATTCAATTAAAACACTTTAATGTTATCATTATCAAAAATATTAAATTTCTATAGCATGTCCTTCATGAGACAAAATTTGATGACAATCCAACATGAATCTCAAAATACACAATATATAATCTTGGATTACCTCCCTTTAATAATACAAAATTTCACCTATAAAATATTGTCTGTATATGGACAAAGATTCATATGGAAATTTGTCCTTTTCTGGACATTATTTTATAGATAGACAAAATTTCATGATATAAAGTCATGAAATATTGTCTTGGGGGATAATATTTCACAAGGACAATACTTTGCTTTAAATACACATTTGTCAAAAATTAACATTAATCAGGGGAGATAACCAGATACTTACGACTATTGGAGACAGTCTGTTCACAGGTGGCACCAGTCAGCACATCTGGGCAAGTACATGTACATTGAAAGTTAACAAAGCCTCCATTCTGACAGCTAGGTGTGGTGCTGCAGTGGTCTAAATATATAATTATGAAAAAAATATATTAAAAAAAATCTGAACCGTCAATACTTGGACTTTTTGGAACATTTAGAAACCACGGCTAAAGATATAAGTTTCAGTTGTTAACTTCTGCAGACATGATGCACTGATACAAAAGGTTCTGAGAAACTACAGATTTGTTGAAACAAGGTGACAAAAAATACTCTCATTTAAATCTAAGAAAGTGATTTCCAGGTAAAAAATTGATTTCATACTAAATATTTTGCTGAACATTCAGTGGCAAATATTTCATGTGTTTTCATGGTAATAATGACATTATCTGTAAAGTTTACAATAACACAGCTGATGCTAAGATATAAACACTTCTACTAGGGGGTGTTTAACGACCTTGACTACCCATGAGGGTCTAGCATGGTAAGTAAAAACACCATCAAAATACACTAATAGGCTATAGCCACAGAAAATTTGTTGTGGAAATCTGAACTTTAGTTTTAATGCTTTGGCTTTCAATATAATGATATCTGCTTGTTATGGACTCAGGACTATCCAGAGCTTGACATTTTGCATACAAACCCTCTATCGCTAAGTATGCATGTTGACCTCTGACAAGATGTCTTTTGGTTATATTTGTCATTGGGTTGCTGTCTCGTTGACATTTATCCAACATCTTTCTTTCTTCATACTTAAAGACTGAAACAAACAGAAAATCACAAATTCTACTTACCTGTACATTTATATGCAACAGTAACATCTTGTATATCATAGAACTCTAGACCATCAGCTGAATCGGCCAAAAACTCTAATCGTTGATCTTTAAAGAGGATTGTTTTCTGACCATTTGTGGAAAAGGCCTGCAAAATACAAAACAGTAAGTAAATCTGATACTTGTGGAAAAAATACAAAACAGGAAGTAAGGTTTATGCTGAATAAGGGTCACCACTCTTTACAATTTTAGGGAGAGTCATTTCTTTTAAAAATAGTAGATCTGTGCCAATTTTCAAACTTGTCCAAGACATTGCTAATATAAAAATCTGGAATTGTACATGTGAGAGTGCTTACAAGACTGGATGCACAGACCAACATCCAGTATTCCTTTGTACAGTCGCCTACAAGACTGCATGCACAGACCAGCATCAGGTATTCCTTTGTTCAGTTGCCTACAAGACTGCATGTACAGACCAACATCAGGTATTCCTTTGTTCAGTCGCCTACAAGACTGGATGACTGGACCAACATCAGGTATTCCTTCGTTCAGTTGCCTACAAGACTGGATGCACAGACCAACATCAGGAATTTCATCACTCAGTCGCCTACAAGACTGGATGCACAGACCAACATCAGGTATTTCTTCGTTAAGTCGCCTACAAGACTGGATGCACGGACCAACATCAGGTATTCCTTTGTTCAGTCGCCTACAATACTGCATGCACCGACCAACATCAGGTATTCCTTTGTTAAGTCGCCTACAAGACTGGATGCACAGACCAACATCAGATATTCCTTTGTTCAGTCGCCTACAATACTGCATGCACCGACCAACATCAGGTATTCCTTTGTAAAGTCGCCTACAAGACTTGATGCACAGATCAACATTAGGTATTCCTTTGTTCAGTTGCCTACAAGACTGGATGCATGGACCAACATCAGGTATTCCTTCGTTCAGTCGCCTACAAGACTGGATGCACAGACCAACATCAGGTATTCCTTTGTTCAGTCGCCTACAAGACTGGATGCACAGACCAACATCAGGTATTCCTTTGTTCAGTCGCCTACAAGACTGGATGCACAGACCAACATCAGGTATTCCTTTGTTCAGTCGCCTACAATACTGGATGCACAGACCAACATCAGGTATTCCTTTGTTCAGTCGCCTACAAGACTGGATGCACCGACCAACATCAGGTATTCCTTTGTTAAGTCGCCTACAAGACTGGATGCACAGACCAACATCAGGTATTCCTTTGTTCAGTCGCCTACAATACTGCATGCACCGACCAACATCAGGTATTCCTTTGTAAAGTCGCCTACAAGACTTGATGCACAGATCAACATTAGGTATTCCTTTGTTCAGTTGCCTACAAGACTGGATGCATGGACCAACATCAGGTATTCCTTCGTTCAGTCGCCTACAAGATTGGATGCACAGACCAACATCAGGTATTCCTTTGTTCAGTCGCCTACAAGACTGGATGCACAGACCAACATCAGGTATTCCTTTGTTCAGTCGCCTACAAGACTGGATGCACAGACCAACATCAGGTATTCCTTTGTTCAGTCGCCTACAAGACTGGATGCACAGACCAACATCAGGTATTCCTTCGTTCAGTCGCTTACAAGACTGGATGCACAGACCAACATCAGGTATTCCTTTGTTCAGTCGCCTACAAGACTGGATCCACGGACCAACATCAGGTATTCCTTTGTTCAGTCGCCTACAAGACTGGATGCACAGACCAACATCAGGTATTTCTTCGTTCAGCTGCCTACAAGACTGGATCCACGGACCAACATCAGGTATTCCTTTGTTTAGTTGCCTACAAGATTGGATGCACAGACCAACATCAGGTATTTCTTCGTTCAGCTGCCTACAAGACTGGATCCACGGACCAACATCAGGTATTCCTTTGTTTAGTTGCCTACAAGATTGGATGCACAGATCAACATTAGGTATTCCTTTGTTCAGTTGCCTACAAGACTTGATGCATGGACCAACATCAGGTATTTCTTCGTTCAGTTGCCTACAAGACTGGATCCACGGACCAACATCAGGTATTCCTTTGTTTAGTTGCCTACAAGATTGGATGCACAGACCAACATCAGGTATTCCTTCATTCAGTCGCTTACAAACTGGATGCACAGACCAACATCAGGTTTTCTTTTGTTCAGTCGCCTACAAGACTGGATGCATGGACCAACATCAGGTATTCCTTTGTACAGTTGCCTACAAGACTGCATTTAGGGACCAACATCAGGTATTCCTTTGTACAGTCGCCTTCACGACTGCATGCACAGACTAACATCAGGTATTCCTTTGTTCAGTTACCTACAAGACTGGATGCATGGACCAACATCAGGTATTCCTTTGTTTAGTCGCCTACAAGACTGGATGCACAGACCAACATCAGGTATTCCTTCGTTCAGTCGCTTACAAACTGGATGCACAGACCAACATCAGGTATTCCTTCGTTCAGTCGCCTACAAGACTGGATGCACAGACTAACATCAGGTATTCCTTTGTACAGTTGCCTACAAGACTGCATTTAGGGACCAACATCAGGTATTCCTTTGTACAGTTGCCTACAAGACTGCATTTAGGGACCAACATCAGGTATTCCTTTGTACAGTCGCCTTCACGACTGCATGCACAGACTAACATCAGGTATTCCTTTGTTCAGTTACCTACAAGACTGGATGCATGGACCAACATCAGGTATTCCTTTGTTTAGTCGCCTACAAGACTGGATGCACAGACCAACATCAGGTATTCCTTCGTTCAGTCGCTTACAAACTGGATGCACAGACCAACATCAGGTATTCCTTCGTTCAGTCGCCTACAAGACTGGATGCACAGACTAACATCAGGTATTCCTTTGTACAGTTGCCTACAAGACTGCATTTAGGGACCAACATCAGGTATTCCTTTGTACAGTTGCCTACAAGACTGCATTTAGGGACCAACATCAGGTATTCCTTTGTACAGTCGCCTTCACGACTGCATGTACAGACCAACATCAGGTATTCCTTTGTTCAGTCGCCTACAATACTGCATTCACCGACCAACATCAGGTATTCCTTTGTTCAGTTGCCTACAAGACTGCATTTAGGGACCAACATCAGGTATTCCTTTGTACAGTCGCCTTCACGACTGCATGTACAGACCAACATCAGGTATTCCTTTGTTCAGTCGCCTACAATACTGCATTCACCGACCAACATCAGGTATTCCTTCGTTCAGTCGCCTACTAGACTGCATTCACCGACCAACATCAGGTATTCCTTTGTTCAGTTGCCTACAAGACTGCATTTAGGGACCAACATCAGGTATTCCTTTGTACAGTTGCCTACAAGACTGCATTTAGGGACCAACATCAGGTATTCCTTTGTACAGTCGCCTTCACGACTGCATGTACAGACCAACATCAGGTATTCCTTTGTTCAGTCGCCTACAATACTGCATTCACCGACCAACATCAGGTATTCCTTTGTTCAGTTGCCTACAAGACTGCATTTAGGGACCAACATCAGGTATTCCTTTGTACAGTCGCCTTCACGACTGCATGTACCGACCAACATCAGGTATTCCTTTGTTCAGTCGCCTACAATACTGCATTCACCGACCAACATCAGGTATTCCTTCGTTCAGTCGCCTACTAGACTGCATTCACCGACCAACATCAGGTATTCTTTTGTTCAGTTGCCTACAAGACTGCATTTAGGGACCAACATCAGGTATTCCTTTGTACAGTTGCCTACAAGACTGCATTTAGGGACCAACATCAGGTATTCCTTTGTACAGTCGCCTTCACGACTGCATGTACAGACCAACATCAGGTATTCCTTTGTTCAGTCGCCTACAATACTGCATTCACCGACCAACATCAGGTATTCCTTTGTTCAGTTGCCTACAAGACTGCATTTAGGGACCAACATCAGGTATTCCTTTGTACAGTCGCCTTCACGACTGCATGTACAGACCAACATCAGGTATTCCTTTGTTCAGTCGCCTACAATACTGCATTCACCGACCAACATCAGGTATTCCTTCGTTCAGTCGCCTACTAGACTGCATTCACCGACCAACATCAGGTATTCCTTTGTTCAGTTGCCTACAAGACTGCATTTAGGGACCAACATCAGGTATTCCTTTGTACAGTTGCCTACAAGACTGCATTTAGGGACCAACATCAGGTATTCCTTTGTACAGTCGCCTTCACGACTGCATGTACAGACCAACATCAGGTATTCCTTTGTTCAGTCGCCTACAATACTGCATTCACCGACCAACATCAGGTATTCCTTTGTTCAGTTGCCTACAAGACTGCATTTAGGGACCAACATCAGGTATTCCTTTGTACAGTCGCCTTCACGACTGCATGTACCGACCAACATCAGGTATTCCTTTGTTCAGTCGCCTACAATACTGCATTCACCGACCAACATCAGGTATTCCTTCGTTCAGTCGCCTACTAGACTGCATTCACCGACCAACATCAGGTATTCTTTTGTTCAGTTGCCTACAAGACTGCATTTAGGGACCAACATCAGGTATTCCTTTGTACAGTTGCCTACAAGACTGCATTTAGGGACCAACATCAGGTATTCCTTTGTACAGTCGCCTTCACGACTGCATGTACAGACCAACATCAGGTATTCCTTTGTTCAGTCGCCTACAATACTGCATTCACCGACCAACATCAGGTATTCCTTTGTTCAGTTGCCTACAAGACTGCATTTAGGGACCAACATCAGGTATTCCTTTGTACAGTCGCCTTCACGACTGCATGTACAGACCAACATCAGGTATTCCTTCGTTCAGTCGCTTACAAGACTGCATGCACAGACCAACATCAGGTATTCCTTTGTTCAGTCGCCTACAAGACTGCATGCACAGACCAACATCAGGTATTCCATTGTTCAGTTGCCTACAAGACTGGATGCACAGACCAACATCAGGTATTCCTTTGTTCAGTCGCCTACAATACTGCATTCACCGACCAACACCAGGTATTCCATTGTTCAGTTGCCTACAAGACTGGATGCACAGACCAACATCAGGTATTCCTTTGTTCAGTTGCCTATGAAACTGGATGCACAGAACAACATCAGGTACATTTCTTTGTACAGTCAACTTTAAACAGGGAGGAAATTACTAATATATATTTTTTTACAAAGATTAAATCATTACCACTCTACTCAGCATTTACATAACAAATTTTCCCTTTTTGACAATAGAGAGTACTAACAAACTGTACTAAATGGATGATCAACATACATTGGTGCTAATCATTGAATCATTACCACTCTAGTCAATATTTATTTAACAAGACCTATACGGGATCTAGATCTGGACCTGTGTGGCTGCATGTAACTGATTGAGGTTGCATGTATACTGAAGCATAACTGATCATTCCCTTACATTGAAAGCAAGAAAACATTGAGGAGAAATTTCCTTGTACAATGAGCGTTGTACAATTTCAAACTATTGACAAACAGGAAGAAGCTGCCATTGCATGACAAACAGGAAGTAGCTGCACAGTGCATGTAAAAACTGCTTACTCACTAAAACTCCACATTATCAAGCTGCACAATAAATATAAAATCATTCTCTTTCATAGAAGTTAAAAAAACTTTGACGAAAGTTTCCTACCCAAAGTCTTTTGGATGGACACACAGATGGACCGAGTCAAGTAGTTACTAGACCTGCTTTGGCCTTTAGCAACACAGGTAAAAAAAAGATGATGTGGTATGACTGCCAATGAGAAAACTCTCCACCAGAGACCAAATGAGGTAGAAGTTAATTATTAGTAACAATTTTTTCTTTATGACAAAAATACTCACATGCAAACTGTACTGCATGGAAGATTCTGCATCATATGGGTTATTGTCTTGAGTGTCTAACTTCTTCATGTTATAATTGCCCTGTCCTTGTTCTACGTTTTGCCATTCAATACTGACGTAATTATCACGGTCAGTTCGAGATTGTTCGTGATGTCCTCCCATTGCATGTAACATTTCATGTACAGTAGTGCTTAACTGCAAAGAAAGACAGTTTTTTAATATGACCTTGATTTTGTTTTAAATAAGAAATAAATTCCCTTTAGACCCATAGTTTAGTTGTAAACAAGAAACAAGTTCCCTGTAGACCCAAAGTTTAGTTGTTAAAAAGAAACAAATTCCCTGTAGACCCAAAGTTTAGTTGTAAACAAGAAACAAATTCCCTTTAGACCCATAGTTTAGTTGTAAACAAGAAACAAATTCTCTGTAGACCCATAGTTTAGTTGTAAACAAAAAACAAATTCCTTTTAGACCCATAGTTTAGTTGTAAACAAGAAACAAATAGACAACTTTCGAGTTCGTTGCATTTCCGTCAAAAACTTTGGTTTTAGTGAACATCATTCGTGCGTTTAGGGGCGTCGTCACTTCTGTTCCTATGTTGAGCGATCGGTTGAAAAAAATATGATGCTATATTGCACCATTTAGTCGGCAATTTAAATTCTTATAAATGATAATCGGCACTGCTGTCATCAGGAAAATGTGATTAAGTACCTATGGTACAAATATTATTTCTAGTTTATCATGCATAATGACGATCACAAAGAGGCAATCCCCTCTATCTGGTAAATGACATCATAAAGGCGCACAAAATAGACAAACTTTTCCAGTAAAGGACATAACTCGAAAGTGGTCTATTCCCTTTAGACCCATAGTTAATTTGTCAACAAAAAAAATTCCCCTTACACCAATACTTTAGTTGTAAACAAGAAACAAATTCCCTGTAGACCCAAAGTTTAGTTGTAAACAAGAAACAAATTCCCTTTAGACCCAAAGTTTAGTTGTAAACAAGAAACAAATTCCCTTTAGACCCACAGTTTAGTTGTAAACAAGAAACAAATTCCCTGTAGACCCAAAGTTTAGTTGTAAACAAGAAACAAATTCCCTTTAGACCCAAAGTTTAGTTGTAAACAAGAAACAAATTCCCTTTAGACCCACAGTTTAGTTGTAAACAAGAAACAAATTCCCTGTAGACCCACAGTTTAGTTGTAAACAAGAAACAAATTCCCTTTAGACCCACAGTTTAGTTGTAAACAAGAAACAAATTCCCTTTAGACCCAAAGTTTAGTTGTAAACAAGAAACAAATTCCCTTTAGACCCACAGTTTAGTTGTAAACAAGAAACAAATTCCCTTTAGACCCACAGTTTAGTTGTAAACAAGAAACAAATTCCCTTTAGACCCAAAGTTTAGTTGTAAACAAGAAACAAATTCCCTTTAGACCCACAGTTTAGTTGTAAACAAGAAACAAATTCCCTTTAGACCCACAGTTTAGTTGTAAACAAGAAACAAATTCCCTGTAGACCCACAGTTTAGTTGTAAACAAGAAACAAATTCCCTGTAGACCCACAGTTTAGTTGTAAACAAGAAACAAATTCCCTGTAGACCCACAGTTTAGTTGTAAACAAGAAACAAATTCCCTGTAGACCCACAGTTTAGTTGTAAACAAGAAACAAATTCCCTGTAGACCCACAGTTTAGTTGTAAACAAGAAACAAATTCCCTGTAGACCCACAGTTTAGTTGTAAACAAGAAACAAATTCCCTGTAGACCCACAGTTTAGTTGTAAACAAGAAACAAATTCCCTTTAGACCCACAGTTTAGTTGTAAACAAGAAACAAATTCCCTTTAGACCCAAAGTTTAGTTGTAAACAAGAAACAAATTCCCTTTAGACCCAAAGTTTAGTTGTAAACAAGAAACAAATTCCCTTTAGACCCAAAGTTTAGTTGTAAACAAGAAACAAATTCCCTTGAGACCCACAGTTTAGTTGTAAACAAGAAACAAATTCCCTGTAGACCCACAGTTTAGTTGTTAACAAGAAACAAATTCCCTGTAGACCCACAGTTTAGTTGTTAACAAGAAACAAATTCCCTTTAGACCCAAAGTTTAGTTGTTAACAAGAAACAAATTCCCTTTATTGTAAACAAGAAACAAATTCCCTGTAGACCCAAAGTTTAGTTGTAAACAAGAAAAAAATTCCCTGTAGACCCAAAGTTTAGTTGTAAACAAGAAAAAAATTCCCTGTAGACCCAAAGTTTAGTTGTAAACAAGAAACAAATTCCCTTTAGACCCAAAGTTTAGTTGTAAACAAGAAACAAATTCCCTTTAGACCCAAAGTTTAGTTGTAAACAAGAAACAAATTCCCTGTAGACCCAAAGTTTAGTTGTAAACAAGAAACAAATTCCCTGTAGACCCAAAGTTTAGTTGTAAACAAGAAACAAATTCCCTGTAGACCCAAAGTTTAGTTGTAAACAAGAAACAAATTCCCTGTAGACCCAAAGTTTAGTTGTAAACAAGAAACAAATTCCCTGTAGACCCAAAGTTTAGTTGTAAACAAGAAACAAATTCCCTTTAGACCCAAAGTTTAGTTGTAAACAAGAAACAAATTCCCTTTAGACCCAAAGTTTAGTTGTAAACAAGAAACAAATTCCCTTTAGACCGACAGTTTAGTTGTAAACAAGAAACAAATTCCCTTTAGACCGACAGTTTAGTTGTAAACAAGAAACAAATTCCCTGTAGACCCATAGTTTAGTTGTACACAAGAAACAAATTTCCTTTAGACCCATAGTATAGTTCTACATAAAAAAACTAATTCCCTTTAGACCCATAGTTAAGTCTTAAACAAAAAACAAATTTCCGTCGGAAAAGCAATCCCTATGTCTCGCTTTCAGACAAAAACCATTGTTTGGCATTAACAGTCCAAAAACATGGTAAATATTCACTTTTATGGAATTACAGCCCACTTTATAAAAATCTTGGACCCGCCCCTGAATCATACAACATACTTACGCTAACACAACCTGGTTCGGATAAGCTAAGGGGCTGTTTATTGTTACTTTGAGGATCAACATTGCCAACATAGGACCAACACCCACTACAAATGCAATAAAACACTATTCAATATGTGTATAATACAAATTGCCAACCAAATACAAATATTACCTAGGACCAGCAAGCCCTAAAAATGCAATAAAACTCAATATGTGTGTACAAATATAACTTGCTCAGTCTTAAGTTTTCAATGTTGTGTTTTGTGTACTGTTGTTTGTCTTCTTGGCCTTTTTTTTTTGTTTTTTGCCTTGGTGTTGTCAGTTTGTTTTAGACTAATGAGTTTTAATGTCCCTCTGGTATCTTTCGCCTCTGTTGTACCTGTCAGAGCACAAAGACAATATGTGTTGAAGAGGGCTTTTACCTGTCACAGCACAAAGACAATATGTGTTGAAGAGGGCTTTTACCTGTCAGAGCACAAAGACAATATATGTTGAAAGAGGGCTTTTACCTGTCAGAGCACAAAGACAATATGTGTTGAAGAGGGCTTTTACCTGTCAGAGCACAAAGACAATATGTGTTGAAAGAGGGCTTTTACCTGTCAGAGCACAAAGACAATATGTGTTGAAGAGGGCTTTTACCTGTCAGAGCACAAAGACAATATGTGTTGAAGAGGGCTTTTAACTGTCAGAGCACAAAGACAATATGTGTTGAAAGAGGATTTTTACCTGTCAGAGTACAAAGACAATATGTGTTGAAAGAGGATTTTCACCTGTCAGAGCACAAAAACAATATGTGTTGAAAGAGGGCTTTTACCTGTCAGAGCACAAAGACAATATGTGTTGAAGAGGGCTTTTACCTGTCAGAGCACAAAGACAATGTGTGTTGAAGAGGGCTTTTACCTGTCAGAGCACAAAGACAATATGTGTTGAAGAGGGCTTTTACCCGTTAGTTTGGGCTAAAAATCAGAGAAGTCGAGAAATGGTTAGATGTACAATGTAGATAGGTGGTTTAAATAAAAAATGTTAGAAATTTTTAATATGTTGTCCAAATGTAGGTTACCTCATGCTTTTTTTCAAAAATATAATAAAAAGTATGGGTCACACAGCTTTCTTTTTCAAGCTACTAGTTGAAAAATATTGTCAAATTTTGTAAGGATTATACATGGAAAAAACACTTCTATGTGAATAGTGACTAGAGCTCAAGTTAAGGTAAGTAAAGTTCAATAATATATCCTAACTGCAAAATTTTGCAATGGAGTTTTATCATAACAAATACAATTTCAATCATTGTGACTGTATTAGTCCAAATGTTTCCACCAATAAAACCAACTACACCAGAAGAAAAATCATTTAACAATAATCAAATTTACCTTTTCTAAAGGAGTGTTGTTGTTGTGGGTTGCTGTAAATCATATTTGCTTTTCTTTTATTGTTTTGTACATAAATCAGGCCGTTACTTTTCTCGTTTTGAATTGTTTTACATTTGCCATTTCTGGGACTTCAATAGCTTGCTATACAGTATGGTATTGCTCATTATTGAAGGCCATATGGTGACCTATTGTTGCTACCCTTCTACATCATTTGGTTTCTAGTTGAGAGTTGTCTCATTGACAATCATACCACATCTTCTTTTACAACATTTAATGAAACTTATTTTCAGCTCAATATTATTAAATATTTCATGACATACTTTTCATTTATAAATGTTACCACATTTTGGTGTCCAAGTGTTGATTGGTCGAACAGGGGATCAGTAGTTTTTATCCATTTAACACATGTATAGTCATCGAACTGTTTAATAGCGTTGTTAATTACTGTAACAGAACTTGAGGCTGCAATAAAAAAAGCCAATGAGAATTTTTTTTTTTTTTAATGCAAGCACTATGTATTTTGGTGAGCATTTTTTGTAAATGGTGGCAGAACCAGTACTTTTGACACAGAATCATTTCTTAATAGCAAATACCTTTTTTCATTTAACACAAAAAATATGATTGTCAGAATTAATATTTTTTAACAAAACAGTTTTTGACAAAATTTTAACTTAAGGAATCAATTTGGAATGCATATTATGCTCATATTATATATCAATTTTAAACGACATCCTACAACAAGAAGATGCTTCTCAAAATTTGTGATTTTTTTTTCTAAATTAAGTTTTTACTATTTTTTTCAATCTGTCAATCACCATGATCACTTTGAAATAACTTAAATCAAAATATATTAAATACACATTTACATCAGTTTTTCCTATTTTAAGAAACATTTCTCAAAATTCATGATTTTATAACAAAAATAGAAGTTTTTCCCCAAATCAATAAGCAGAATTTCATGAAAATATAATATGCAAAACTACTATTATCACAACTGTGCAACATTTCTGAGGCCGCCTACCTGTACTTTTGGAGATTTCGCATTTATCATGTTTATAAAAGAAATTACTTAAAATCTGAGGGAACTTCACCAAAACATTATTATATGCACAACAACTGTGCAAAATTTCCTTTTGCATTTACAAAAGACTTTTCTCAACATTTGTGATTTTTTTTAACAAAAACAAAGTTTTCCCAAAATTAATGGACAAAAAGAAAACTATAGCGGCCATTATTAGATTAAGTTTACCCCTTGAATCCTGACATAGAGGCAATTAGAATTTGGTGATCTCAACTAGAGGCTCTATAGAGCCTGTGTCGCTCACCTTGGTCTAAGTGCATATTCAACAAAGGACACTCTCCAACATTGTAGACAAGAATAAAATTCATGACAAAAATCTGTTTTGTTGATTTTGCATTATTGATCATTTAGTCTGTTTAGTTTCTCTCTATCTCCTTTAGTTTTTGCTCAAAACACAAAAGAGGGTAAAAAATCCTCATTTAAGGGCAATCACTCCTATAAAGAGTGACAGTCTACTAACTATATTGGCAAAATTTGACTTCTTAGTAGATCTTGCTTTGCTGATCATTATTGTGATTTAAAGTGTCTATTTATCTATTACAATTTTTATCATGTAAGGCAAAATGCAAAAAAAAAGGTAAATATTGTCATGAAAGGGCAATGACTCCAGTAAGGAATCGTTGCAAGATTTCCTCCATAACTTAACTTAAATAAGCAAAAATGATCAGCAAGACAAGATCTACTTTTAAGACAGCTAGATACCCCAATGATGATTGTGGTCAAGTTTGATTAAATTTAGCCCAGTAGTTTCAGAGAAGATTTTTGTAAAAATTAACAGACGACGATGGAACAATGGACTAAGACGATGGAACGACGGACAAGGATGATGTAATGACGGATGCCAAGTGATGAGAAAAGCTCACTTGGCCCTGTGGGCCAGGTGAGCGAAAACTGAATGACAATAAAATTTAAAACTCTTCTAAATCCATCGAATTACCAACTATGTTTGACAATATTTACATTTATAAGAGTCCAGTACTTACACATGTTATGTATATTATAAGGAACAATCCCATCTTTCCAAAGCCATTGAGTATAAGAGACAAAATTTCTCTTTCTGCCGCTTGAATCACCCTGGAAAAAATATAGAATGTACTATAAACAAACATATTTTCACAAGTTCTTTATTTGAGGGTCTTAATGGGGGTACCTTCATGACGAATAACTGTAAAAAATCTTGCCAAATGACGTTCACGGTAATTTTTGGTGCATGACGATAAAATATACACTTTCTTTATGACAATAAAAAACAAGAACGTGTCCATAGTACACGGATGCCCCACTCGCACTATCATTTTCTATGTTCAGTGGACCGTGAAATTGGGGTCAAAAGTCTGATTTGGCATTCAAATTTGAAAGATCATATCATAGGGAACATGTGTACTAAGTTTCAAGTTGATAGGACTTCAACTTCATCTAAGACTACCTTGACCAAATACTTTAACCTGAAGCGGGACAGACGGACGAATGGACGGACAGACAAACGAACGGACGCACAGACCGAAAAACATAAGGCCCCTAGATGGGGCATAAAAACACTGATTTTGAGCAATCACGTTAAATTCTTTTCAAAAATAACGGTAAGGATAATTATTTGAGACCTCTGACAAATTAGATAAAATTTCAACCAATTTGACACTAACAGTTGCCAAAAATGACTGTTTGATGCCTGACGGTAAAGGGTATTCCTATCCTTATATCATACTTATTATCGTGGTTATATAACCCGTTTGATGTATTCCTTTAAGAAAATATTCAAGTTTGATACATTCATGACAATTTATATTTGTGTTGTTTTCTACTAGCAAAAGTCACTAAAAATAAGTCGCTCACCAAAATTTGTTGGTTTACAGTTATAATAGGCTTCTCTAGATTGAAGGAAAAAAAAAGGGAAAATTCCTCAGAATCTGGTGTCTTTGTACTAGACTATGAAAACTAAATTGTAAGTCTGAAAAATGAAAGTCAAGCTGACAATAAATAAATATGATGAAATTCTACTGAGAGACTTTTCACTTTTCAGATTTTTTGTATGAAGAACGACAGGTATATTTCTAACATTGGTTTGCCATTAATGTTGTAAAATCTACTCACTGTATTCTTTAACTCAAGTTGTGCTGATTGTTCTGGTGTAAGTCTGTGTGAGTCGTGGGAATCACCGTACGTCTTAGCACTGTTTTCTGGGTGAAGTCCTTGAACCTGTTGATTATAACTACATTTAATCAGGTAATTTTTCCTTTATTACTATTTTCATTATCTTCTGAAGAATTTTCTATAGTATTTTCATGAAGTTTACATGGTTAAAAAAAATTCATTAAATCCATCCACTGCCAAAAGAAGAAATATTATACATCAGATGTAAAAATGAAATTGATGAGAAATGTCACTTCTTTCTGTCTTGTGATGACAAGAACATTCATGAACATTTTTAAATATTTTAATACAAAGGAAATAATTTTAATAACATTAACAAACTTTGATAAACTAAAAGGATTTCTGAATCGGTCAACAAGAAGTGCTATTAGATGACTATAAATTTTCTGTTTTCTCATAGGCTAAAAGCATAGGAAATCCTCCTTGATAAACAATGATAAAACATTATATTCATCGACCGTAGAAAAAATCACAAGAGGTTAATATAAGATTTGAAACAGCGCCTGTGTACCTAAATATAGATATTCCAAAGCACGTCAATGGCATAGGTTTATGACGTCATGTAAATTCCCGTTTTTTTCTTCTTCTTGTTTTCAGTGGGTTTTTTTTCTCTTCTTGTTTTCAGTGTGTTATTTTTTAGTAAACTAAATTGAATATTTCAACTTATGAAAATTAGCAACTGCAAAAGCAGATGATATATTTAGTATAAAAACAGGACAAAGTTTTAAAAGTATCTTGAGCAAATACTAGAAAACTGGAGAAGGATAAAAAGTCATATAATAAAACAATTGTTGACTTTTGATTTCAGTTCATACAATGATATATCAACTCCAGAGATATGACATTTACCCTTGACCATTATCCTCGATGAATATCATATCTCAGGGGTTGATAAATCATTGTATCAACCTCATCAAAAGTCAATAATTGTAAAATATCAAAACAATATAATATCCTTCACATTGTTTATATTTCATTATAGACAACAAAAATATCAATTTACTGGTTTTTTTTTTATCTCTTTTTGTTTCTATCTTCTGGTTTCACACTTATGATGTGATTAGTATGCATATGTCCCTAATTAGGATTGGTTTACAAAATTAAAATTAAAGTTAAATTAATTAAAAATAATAGATCATGTTTGTTATCAACAGTTAAATAAAATATTCTTATATAAAAATTTGTAAGGGGTTCCGCAGATTGCTGCTGTCAGTGTAAAAGTGTAATGTTGACTTAAAAAGTGAGTCCAGTTATCAGTAAAATACAGAATGTTAAAAAAAAATTCAAACTTTCTCTTGAGATTCTATTTCTTGGTCTTGAAGATTAGCTTCTGTCTAAGTTTCATAACAATCCATGAAGGTTTACAAACTTATCATGTCAAAAAAATTTAATCCCAGACTGACAGTAAATGTTACCTGTAAAAACAGTCCATCTATCAGAAAAAAACTCAAAATGAAAATAAATTTTCAAAAGTGTGCTTCAGACATTATCTCTTAATCATAAACACATTCCATAAAATTCGATGAAGGTTTGACAAAGTATTTGCTGTGTAACAAACTTTAACCCCAGACTATCTATTTGTTAAATGTAAAAGCAAGAATGTGTCCATAGTACACGGATGCCCCACTCGCAATATCATTTTCTATATTCAGTGGAACGTGAAATTGGGGTCAAAACTCTCAATTTGGCATTAAAATTAGAAAGATCTTATCATAGGAAACATGTGTACTAAGTTTCAAGTTGATTGGATTTCAACTTCATCAAAAACTACCTTGACCAAAAACTTTAACCTGAAGCGAGACAGACGGACGAACGGACGCACAGACTGAAATACATAATGCCCCGCTACTATCGTAGGTGGGCATAACAAAATTGGCCTTATATTTATAGTTACTTAAAACTTGCATATGCGTGTTAACTTAACATTAATTTAAGTGTCATTGGATCAGCAATCAAAGTCAGTAAATGACTACAGAAATAATAAAGATTAATCAGGTTCATTATAGTGGTTTAGTCATTATAGTATGACGGCGTAGGCATAAAAATTAAAGAAATAATCATAAAATAGAAAAAAATCAATATTCAACTTGAGCTTTATTTTTCTATATGTTACTATGGTACCATGGAACACCCAATCTTGTTATAAAATTATAGCCTTTGGATAAGGTCGATATGAGTAAATATCGACTTGAAAGTAGTATATTAATTGAAGACATAGTCGGAGATCGATATACTACTTTAGGTAGATATATCCTGGTATCAACCTCATACATAGGTAACAAATGTTATATAATTATTGCCAATAAGCCACAAGTAGAGAAGCTATTCATTTGATTGGTTGTTTTGATTGTGTCAGATATTCTAAAAATAACCATACAATATCACTTTTCTAAAACACCCATGCAATATCATCTTCTGTTTTCAGTCCACCTTTGAAAATATAGTTGACCCTGTAACTCTTTCTAAAGGAATCAAATTAGTTAGAATATATACGATAATAAATTATCTTTTATAACTGCATAATTACTTACACGATGACGATGTCCATTGTTCTCAATTAGCATACCTTCAAGCAGGTTAGATACAGGGTCATCTGGATCAATTTTCTGAAAGGGAAAAGATAATGAAAAACCTGTTTAGTCTTCTTTTAGATTTATATCCTTTTCTATGTTTGATTCTTTTCTAAATATCAACAAATTGTAAAATAGTTTGTTCTTGGTCTGACATCAACAACAGTATGCAAGTACAGCCTTCTTAGGAGGACATCCAGAATTATCTTCATGTCCAAATTCATTTAAGGATATGAAATTTTGGAAATCAAAATCTTATGACCTTATTTGGTATTCTTATGCAGGGTTCTAACATGTGACAATTAAAGTAGATATAGTAATGTTAATAGTAAGAAAGTGGCAGTGGAATTACAATAAAGGGAAAACTCTTGTAAATAGTAAACCATCAGAGGTCAACAGCTAGCAGCTAGCATCTGGATAACCAAAAAAATAATTTGTTTCGAATAACATGGTTAGAAAATTGGGGACGGTAGATACACAAATATTTTTTTTCCCCAAATTTTTTAACTTGTCTTTAATCAGGTTATACAGTCTAAACTGTAATAGTGCTTGCTTATCAACAACCCAAAAACATTCTTAAGGTAGCCACTAATAATTAGGGTTGGTCAGGTCCAAGGATACGGAATTTTTTTTCACAAATTTCGGTCATTTTGAGATGACTTAAAAGTTGGCACCCTTTTTCAAATTGTCAAAATCACACTAAATTCATAGCATTAAAGAACTTCCATTGACTGTTTGAACTTCATGAATTGTTTTACCATATTTCTAAAAACGTTCAAAAACTGTTTAGGGAAGGCAACAAATTAAAATTGAAATGATTTTAATGACTCAAAATGGTTAATTTCTCAGACATCGCTAACGTTTCCCTTTTGATTTTGAAGCCAAATTTAAATCCGAAAGTTACGCAACTATACAAAAGTATGAGTAATAATTCCGGATTTATTTGCAGGATTCAGTTTGTTTATCAAATTGACAGGAAATCCCTGTCGTTTTAATTTCATTACCTTTAAAAGGTTTTGAATATAACAGATAATAGTTACACTCGTTTAATTTGGAATGAAATCATTTTATAAAATACTTTTTTTTTACATTTACAATTAAGTGTGTAATCTGCTAAAGACAATATCACACATGCGTATTACAATTTTAGTAAATAAAGCACATGTGTAACTTGTGAAAATTAAAGACTTTTTTTCTACGTAAATTGAATTAAGTTTTAATGTTTAAATCAGAATTGCTGAAAAGTAATGAAATAATGAAGACAGTTGCCATGGTATTTTCATTTCTTTATGTATTAGGTCTGAGCATGTGATCAATACCAGGTGTGAATTAAAAACACAGGTAAAAAGTGATTAGCGATCATTAGCCAATAATTCCCTGAGGCATTAATATAGTTATCAGGATTATCATACTATACTGGAGTGGCAGTTTTATCAAAGCAAAGGGATTACGAAACAAAAACAAGTGAAAAATGGCTATTAAGAAACCTGATCTCAATGAAATAGTCAAAATTGTTTCTGTAAAAAAAATTAAATTTGTCCTAAATCCCAAACTGGCGTTTAGGACAAATAGATTTCAGTTTAGGTCATGACCGGCAAATATTACCATTTCCAGACCTTTGGTCAGGTCAGTGAAACACTTGTTTATGCCTTAAACATAAAAGTTGCAGTACTATGACATATTCTCAATACCTCTGGATCATCTATAGGTTGTGCTTCGTTTGATTTCCTCCATTCTTTCATCTTTCTCTCTGCCAACCTTTCCCTTTGTGTAAGTTTTCGCATGCCTTTTTCCATTTTCCTAGCATAAGACTTGCTAGGACTGTCAAGATGTCGTTGAGGAGTCTGTAATTTCTCAAATCTTCCTTGTCTGACCTAATAAAAAAAAACAATTTGAATCAAAACATTTATGCATAAAGAAACGTTCATATTTTGAGAAGAAAAAAATTATTTTATTTATTGGTTCACTTTGTAAAAGTTTGTTGTGTTCATGGGTCAAATACTGTAAATGGGCCTGCATGTTTTCCTGTTGCGGTGCAAAATTTCTGTGAACAGTACATAGTAAAATTAATTTACTCCCATTTATAATTACCTCGAGCTCCCTTTCTTCTTCTATCTCCACTTCTTCTTCTTCTATCTCCAATTCTTCTTCTTCTTCTGGTTCCTGCCATGCTATCTGCCTTCCTTCTTCGACATCACTTGGATTTTGTGTTTCCTATAAAATAAAATCATCAGTGTACATTACAGCTAACCTGGATATTGTTAACACCTGCCTAACCCCAATAATCTAGTTGTTACATTCAACTCACTACCATCACTCTATTAAGGAGGACGCTGATGATTAAGGGCGTTGTATTATTGGAGTTAGGGCCTACCCACTACCCACCAATCATGATCATTCATAACATTTTAGAAACAATTTCTAATTTTTCCACTTCGTTGTACTGTACGATCAATTCTTATATAATAAAGGAACGAAAATATTAAACAAATAGCATACCCACTCCAAAGGGTGGGCATAGGGGACTATCTAGAAGTTCTACCCGTAACAACTATAGAAGGGTAGAAATAACAAGTCCTCCATGCTCTGTAGAGTACAGGTATACTGTTAAATAGAATACAGAAAATTTAAGAATCATCGTGAGGTTTTATTAATGTGAATAATGCAACTACGTGAGTATTGCAATAATCAGAACAATTTGTTCCTTCTTTCGAATGATCTGCAAAAAGATGTGTTCTTTCTATGTGACGTCATCAGGCAATGTCGCCTTTTTTCATGCCGTCACAATAGGAAATTCAGAGGAAAGCAAGAAAATTCGACGTCATAATCAGATTTCAACCAATGAAGAACTGAGATCAAACGAACCACACGTTGATTAAATTTTTTTTTATACAATGGGTGCAGAAAGGGATAAATTGACGAAGAATTAGAGAAATATAATTATACTGATAACTGTATACATATTTTCTAGAAAATTGCAATACTTAATCTTGCATTTTTTTTTTCCATTCTTCAAATATCGCAATAATAAATGGAATAATTTATGAATTTACAGTAAGTAAAATGTACATAGGTTTAACCACAACACATTTGAATGTTCCTGTTCTACCTTGTCGGTGGTTGTTATATTTTATATCTTTTCTGTTCATGCATGTTATTTGGAGAATTGGATATTAATGGCAGATCTTAAGATTGTTACTATTAAATGTAATCACACTTCTTTTACAAGCCTAAGGTATTGTATTGAATTGTATTGTATATTGTATTTTATTGTTTTGTATTGTATTGTATTGTATATTGTATTGTATTGTATTGTATTGTATATTGTATATTGTATTGTATTGTATTGTATTGTATATTGTATTGTATTGTATATTGTATTGTATTGTATTGTATTGTATATTGTATTGTATATTGTATTGTATATTGTATTGTATTGAATTGTATTGTATATTGTATTGTATTGTATTGAATTGTATTGTATATTGTATTGTATTGTATTGTATGTTGTATATTGTATTGTATATTTTATTGTATTGTATTGTATTGTATTGTATTGTATTGTATTGTATTGTATTGTATTGACACCTAGTGTCTGTATGTTGGTTGCTTGATGTCTTGGGTCATTTTTTTCTCCATTACAATTACAGAATGGTGGTCAAGTTGTCAATTAAGGTGGTACCTAACACTACAGGGAGATAACTCTGTAAAAATCAGCTGAACGTTTTAATCACGTTCTATTGTTATGGTAATATTAAGCTTCTCAATGATCAAAATTAGTGTTTGTCAAACTGCTATTTATCCAATGAAATTTTTCCGATAAAGTGTGTGGTTCAAGTTTTTTGAAATTTTCATATTTTTGTCAAAGGGTCAAAGTTAATATTTTGCTAACTTAAGTTTGCCTCAACCAAATGTTATGAAACTTATACACAATACTTATTACTACAAAACTCAGATTAATAACAAATTTGGGTAGCGTCACTTTTATATCCCTTAATAACTTTATATGATATGCAAGCGGGGGCATCATATGTGTCCCATGGAAACATTTATTTTAAATTATATTACATAGACTATAATATGGAAATATTCTGGAATCTTAACTTTTTAAAAACCAAAATCGTCCATAAATGTTGTTAAGGCATGAATATAAAAGATAGGTAAGGAGGCAGGAAACAACTAGAATTTGTTTGGCCTGATATCAATTAACATTAGATTCATAAAACATGCTTCTTAAGTCATTTAGCTTCTGGTGGAGAATTGTCTCAAACTATGTCCTCTTATTCTTATATTCTTGCATGTTCCTTATAACATTGTATAATATAAAACAAGAAATGTGCAAAAAGACCTTTAAATTTGACACTACAGGTCAAATTATACACAAATTGACATTGAAGTACAATGTACATGTTAACTTCATACCAGACTTTAATAACCAATAAAAGCAAGAGATAAAATCAACATCAAATCTATATCTTGATAAAACACATGTAAAAGTTTATGTCAAGTTCAAATACATGTAAACGTCCAGATAATTAATTTCTAAATTTTAACATCATGAAAGAAATAGAGACCTAGATGATAAAATCTTTAAGATCTGATTTGAATTTGATATTAATACAACCACATATTCATTTGCCAAATATTGATATATAAATAAACCTGTATTGAATGAGAATATCTTATCAAAGTAAAGTCCTAGAGGTAAACATGGTCAATTTATTCTAATATTAAAAACTGATGTTAAAAGCCAATAACGAAACTGATAACTATATCACTAAACAATAACGTTCAAATGAAATTGTATCAACGAGAATGCTATGGGCTACATCCTGTCTTTTACCCTTAATGGTCATTATGCCACAGTCTTTAACCCAGCCTTGACATGTTCATCAGATAGTCATTTAATTGGGTGATCTTTACTGATTATGGTAACCCATCATCTCTTGCCTTCTGGACCAATTTCATTAATTTTACACTATTTGAAGGAGAAATCAACTTTATATCTAAAAACAAATCAATCAACTTAAATTCGGACGGCTTATTTACAGAGTGTTATAAAATACGAAGGAAAAGGGGATTGGTGCCCAAACATTCTACAAAACCAGGCAGAGCGTCAGGCAGGGCACCAAACCCTCTCAAACGTCCCTCCTGAAGCAACACGACTTGAACTGTTATAGTACTTACATATTCTCGTTCTTTCAATAGCTGTTCCAGTTCATTCAACTCTTTTGCTATTCTGGCATTTCCTGCAAATGAAATATACAGTTCTTTCTCAATCATCAACTTGTAATTTACATCTATTTTCTATGATGACTATACAACAGAAACTGAACAAATAAATATGCACGATTTGGCCTGGGACTGGACTTTATTATACATATATTATGTCCCAGATTTGGCTCCATACAGCAAATTTCAATTATTCCAATCCAGTGGCAGATCCAAGGGGGCAGGTTGGAACCCCCCTTTTTTTTTACGATCAATGCTTTTGAATAGGGACATACAATGTATGGTTGGAACCCCCCCCCCCCCCCCTTTTTAAAATGGCTGGATCCGCCCATGCAGTCAATGACAAACCAAACTCGACCATCACACTCATCTAGCCTTCAAAGAATAGATAATTAATGATAACTAGCATGTAAACATGGTAAAGTGAAAAGGATGCATTCTCACATGCTCCAGTTCCAGTACCTTAAATATAGGCACTGGCTACAGTTACATGGAAATGTAACAATAATATAAAAATTATTGTTACATTGGAGACTAATTGCCGGAATGCAGGGTTGGGTAAGGAACCGATTAATTACGAATGTAACAATAATATTTGGGTCTACGGTTACATTGCGTTATTGTTACATTAAAGACTGCAATGTATGATAAATTTATTAAACTTAAACCTTCTATAGTTATGTTGCTTAATTCTTCGATATGTACTAGATAATATTAATAATAATAATATTATTCAGCGAATAAGTATTGATTGTTTTGGCGTTGTTAAAAATCATGACTACTACAGTTTAGTTCAATATCACTATTGATGAATACTTAATGAACTGTTCAATAGAGCATGTACTGTCACGACTGATGATCACAAAATATCTAGACTCTGAAAATGAAAACACTGTTTCCACCAATTTTAATCTGTCGGCAAATGTCAACATTATTGCTTTCACAATTGACTTGTATTTAAACAACCTAACATGCTTCCAAAAAAAATATTGGACGAAAATGTAAACATCGCAAGAGTAACAACATATTTTTCACCTGAAGCATGGCATTCAGACATTGAAAGTTTCTTAAACTTCATAAAGGGAAAATGCAGAATGGAATTGTACGGTATGCAATATAGAGCGTGCACATTGCCGTATCACTGGTTTGTGATGGCTGCTTAGTCAGAGTGGTTTCACGGAAAATGTGTCAGACTAAAACATGCTCCAAAAACAACATACTGGATTTGTAGAAACGGTCATTGTAAATAAAAAATCAAAATATTGTATGCAATATTGTAAATATCAAATAAAAGTTTTCAAGTTTTATTTTAATACATATCTATTAGTATTCCCATCGTACATTGCAGTGCGTTAATGTAACAATAACGCAATGTAACCGTAGACCCAAATATTATTGTTACATTCGTAATTAATCGGTTCCTTACCCAACCCTGCATTCCGGCAATTAGTCTCCAATGTAACAATAATTTTTATATTATTGTTACATTTCCATGTAACCGTAGCCAGTGCCTTAAATATATGACTATGAGTAAATACCTTTCGTAACTTAGACTTAGTGTTCTATGCATAGTCAAGGATTTTTCTTAAAACTTTGCAAAATGATAGAACTTGGTAATGGTATCCAGTAAACATGGTCTATCAGCTTAGATGTCTTAGTTCCTTGTTTTTAACTTGAGATATTTCAGGGGAAATCATATTTGCAGTAAACAAGCCAAAAAATTCTGGCGGGAAATTGATAAGCCCTGAAGCACTGACGGGTATGCCTTGTTTTCAATTTCGGAATGATGCCGATCTTTGAATGATTCATTACATGGCGGCAGATTGGACAAACCCGTCATTTCACTTTTTTACAGACAGTTGTTTGATTTCATGTTATCCCATTACAATAATCGTTTGAATTGATGAATTTTAGTCATTATATTTTTGTATAACAGGCATATGTATTTAAATTACGATCATTTACAAGGATTCATATATCCTTGGTATTTACAGAGATATACATGTCTCTGGTATTTATATTCAGAAACTTATATTTATCTGTTTTAAAACGCGAAGAATTTCTGAAATATATTATCTAAATCAGAATATAAATTCATACTTTAACATTAAATTGAAAATAGTTTAAACTTTACTTAACATGAACTCTAGAAATGAGATTACTGACTATATTATTACCAAAAAGACGAAACTATTTATTACTTAATCTTACGTCACCTGTATTGTTTCAAAACTTTAGCAATGCAATATAATTCAATTTTCATATTTTATTTATTCATTTATTTATCTAAGTTTACTTTATTTTACTTTCATTTTCCAGCATACAATTTTCTATCATTATAAATATTGTTCATTCGCGATAACAGTTGAAATATGCTTTTGAATGGGGACATATGGTTGGGACCCCCCCCCCCCTTTTATCCTGGGTTGGAACCCCTTCTCTTAAAAATGGCTGGATCCGCCCCTGCAGCTACGTATGTATAAATTGTAAAGTATAAATCAAAGTTGAGCGTCTTAATTTATTGCTGAGCATCATTACACCCAAAACATGCAAATGGTATAATACCGTTTAATGACACCACGAGTATGAATTCTTACTATACGTAGATAGAATATATCTATAAATTTAGACATAGTCTTTATTGCATTTTATTTGAATTATAATTTTAAAATAACTGTGAGAGTGAAAGACCTTCCGTACATTGAACACATTAGGACCAGTTTAACTTGAGATTAAAACACTCAAAACAGACCTGCCAACTTTATGAGAGATATACCTCAATGAGAGGTGTTGACACTTAAACTGTATAAACTAATCACCTTAAATGGGCTTTCCGAGGAATTAAATCTATATCTAATTAGATACGTGTATATACTCATTCAAAAACATAGATTATTAGATTAAGTGTTTTATGATGCATTAGATCCTCTAGTGTTTCAAAATTGCCATTGGAGATATAAAAAGTACTTCATACAGTAACAGACTTTCTCTCTCAATTTTTTGGACGCTTTCGCAATGCCGTTTTTTTTTTTATTTTTGTGAGCCCTAGGTGACACGCTTTTGGAATGTGAGATATGGGCGTAAAAAAAGTTGGGATGTGGGGAATAGGGGTAAACAAAGTGGGGATGAGGGATATAGAGGGTAAACATTAGGGCCTGGAAAGGATGAAAAAAGTGTGAAGGAAAACATACAAAGAAAGGATTTGTGAAATTAACCTACCGTGTCAGCCCTCTTTTGTGTAATCCAAGATATTTTTTATAAAATATTCTTCTTTTCTTATTTTAATTTGTTTTCCTTTTTTGATATTTAATATCATCTTACTTAATGGACAGTAAAAATCAGCTGCCACTTAACTTTTTATTTGTTGATGTTTAACGCCACTGTCAATGACCTTCAAGTTCACGGCGCTCATTTTCTATTGTTGGGGGAAGCCGGAGCTTCTATAGCAAATTTGGTGAATTTAACGCATGCTCTATGCGAATGATACAGAAGATGTTCTATGGTTGTCAATGTGACCCACCGAAGGACAAGGATATAAATAACTATAAGGATCACCGTACGGCCTTCAACGATGAGCAAAACTTATACCGCTAATATTATAAGCTGTACAAAGCCTCAGGTATATCAATGTAAAAAGATGCAAACAAACATCCTGAGTCAAGCCAAAAACATTGAAAAAAAAAACAATTAAACCAGACGACAACCAACAACAACCACTGGACGATAGGCTCCTGTAGTCGGTTTCACAAAAAACATACGACTAAGACTGACTTACGATCAATATTAGTTGCAACTTTTTTTGTGAAATCGATTCCTGGCTTTGAACAGCAACTGTCATACATAATGTTTTGAGCGCTCAACTCTTAAAATTGTAAAAAAAAAAAATAGAAATGAATTAAAGGTACGCTTAGGTTATTTGTCAATTACGAAATGTTCTCAAAATTGTTGAATCAGGATGCAATAGCAAGTGTATCTAGGATGTGAGTATATTTAGTACACCTATAAAATCGAATAGTCTTAACCGCAAAACACGTTTAAATAAAGCGCAATGTCTAAATTCCGGGATATACATTTGAAATTGTGATTATTATAATAAAAATGATTCGACTTAGCGAGAAAATAACATAACTTGATTATAACTAACTACTTCTTTGGATCGAAAGCTTTAACGTTTTTAGTATGGTGTACGACAGAGCAAGGAGGACAATAATAAGAACTATTGCTATAAAATGTAGGAAGCTGCGAACAGAGTTGATTTAAATAACTAAATTGTAAGTCGAAAAAAATACACAAAACACCATTATCAAAAGGAAAATGACGAAAATACAAACAATTACAAAAATTAAAAGATCGAGAAACAAAAACCGATCGGGTGGATGGCTCCTGTACTGACTCCCAAAAATCACATTCACATCCGGGTGAGTCGGTCAGGTCCAACTAGTAACACCCGTCGACTGGCACAGTACTCGACAATTTTTTTCTTTTCTTAATTCGACAAATTCTGTTGTAAATAAAGAAAGGAGAGGATATAATATGTTATAGATATATGTTGAAATTTTCATTTACAAAATAGGAAATATAACAAATATTTTACTGTCTGCTATAGCGTTCCATACTATAAAGGACACAGATTCGGATGAGAGGTACGACTCAATATTGTCAAAATTAAAACGAATATTTGTAACCCTCAGATAAGTTTAGATTAAATGTTATTATCGAATTTCGATAAAGTTAAATGAGGGAAATTATTTAAAATCGGGTAAGTAAATGTTTATTTTTTTAATCTGAATTTTTTCCTTTGAAAGTTTTAAATACTGATTTGTATTTTTCTTGCCTAACGGTATTCGTGGTCAGTTTTATATAGTCATTTAAAAACATTTATGTTTCTGAAAAGTAAAGTGGCATTAATGTATCTATAAGTATTTTATAAGTAAAATAATATAACATCTAATTCTATACCCTCCTTTAAAATTTTTATAATCAGCCACTATTGCAATCTTTTGATTTGTATTTAATGGTTGTTAAAGAAGTGAAAGCAAAATAAAAGCGTCAAGATCAGCGTACACCCACTAGTACATAAACTCATCATAGATACCAGGATTAAAATTTTGAACGCCAGACGCGTTTTTCGTCTACACTCGAATAAAAAAAGTTAAAAGTGCTAAGTTGAAGAGCACTGAGAACCAAAATTTCAGAAAGGTTTTGACAAACACAGCTAAGGTAATCTATTCCTGGGTAAGAAAATCCTTAGTTTGTCGAAAAATTAAAAGTTTTGTAAACATTTATATATTGTATAACCCCATTTTGTAAATTAAAAGTTTTGTAAACATTTATATATTGTATAACCTCATTTTGTCCTAGGCTAAAGTTGTCTTTTTGACATTGAAACATCTTTTTTATTTTATTTGTATTGTGTCATAGATCAAATTTATTCGTTCAGTGTATACTTGTTTTTGTGTATTGTCTTTTTGATCGAGTTAAGCAATTTCAATTGACATGTTATTGTGTGTCTTTTTATGTTGTAATGTTATACCACTGTTTCAGGTTAGGTTGAAGGTTGGCGCCTGTTATAACGTTTAAACCCGCTGCATTTATATGCACCTGTCCTAAGTCAGGAGCCTGATGTTCAGTGGTTGTCGTTTGTTGGTGTGGTTCATAAGTGTTTCTCGTTTCTCGTTTTTTATATAGATTAGACCATTGGTTTTCCTGTTTGAATTGTTTTACGCTAGTCTTTTTGGGGCCCTTTATAGCTTGCTGTTCGGTGTGAGCCAATGCTCCGTGTTGAAGGCCGTACTTACCTATAATTGTTTACTTTTTACACATTGTGACTTGCATGAATAGTTGTCTCATTGGCTCTCATACCACATCTTATTTGTATTTAATTTATAATTATAACCATCACTGATTATTTGTATCAACACAGAAGTGCAATTTCAGAACCCATTCCACTGGACGTTAAGCAACCAACAATCAATCAATCAGAACCCATGATAGCGAAGACTTTTTTTCTTTGCCATAAATATCATCCAAGATTCATTTAAAAAACAAAGGAGTAGAGTAAGGAACCCCAATAAACGGCCCCGAAAGTTTTTTTTACCTCAATCATTGAATTAAATCTAATGAGTATGCATTGCTAAATGTATGATACTTAAAAGTATAAAATGAAAATTTTATATTTGCTTCATATTTATAAATATTTTAGCCTGAAATAGGAATAGATTTAATTTTCTAGACATTTTGTCAATTTTTCGACGTTCTTTCATGATTTTGTATGTGACGCCACCCCTCGCCCATTGAAATTTTTATTAAAAAGTAAACATATGGTATATAAAAAATATTTCAGCAAAAATATTCTGAGTGAAGGAATGGCGCCACTGTTTTTTTTCAGAAAACTGTCATAAATTGTGCAGAATTCAGCTAAAAAACAGTTTTTACTTTATGAAATTCCACTTTATTATGACATCACAATTAAAGACAGAAGGTGCCAATGTTGAATGCATGAAAAATCTAGAGAAAATCATTTCCTGCCCAATTTTCAATTAATTTTATCTCAAAAAGTAGGACATAGACCTGTCATTTTTTTCTACTTTTTTAGTTTTATTATTTATATACAATCAATTTATAACAGATTTCTAAATCCTTTGAATGTTATAATACCAACAAAGGCGAGAAATATGACTTCAAAAACTAAAAAAAAAAAATGTCGAAGAAATAAGAAATGAATTAATTCGACTCAAATGTTTAAGATATTTATTTTTGTGTTTGAAGCTTTGAAACGAGTGGTTACAAAGGTAAGTATCCACGAACAAACTTTTTTCACCTGGACGAGGCACTGTTTACAATCACATGATCTGAATTCTGAAGTGTATGAGTTCCATGATCTCACGACTGAATCTTGAGCATCTTTTATATTTTTTTTTGTACAAACTTTTGGGAGAAAGACCTCCGTTTGAATCCACCTAATTCACAGACAATGCATACTGTACAGGTACAGTATCAAAACCGATGAAGGAGAACAATAAAAAAAACTTCTTCAAACGAACAATACGTCTATCTGGTATTATATCGACAAAACATGTCCATTAATTATGGAATATTCACGGACTTCAATCTTCCTTTTTATTGAAAATAAAAGGACCCCTCTTTTAGAAAAGTTGTTCCAAATATAATGAATTTTCCCCCTTTTAAGTTAAAAGTCTTAGTTTTTCTATTTTCTTTTCTATAACAACAAAATAAGCCCTGGTCTGAGGACAATCCCTCGTTTAAGGGATATCCTTCGTTTGGGGGTTCTTCCCAACCTGATACAATGGATTTTGCAAGATTTTTATCTATGTTACCTAATGCATCTGTCATACCGATATCTGGTATAAACAGGGCGTGAATAGTATTTTAGCTAATTTGCAGACCTAAAACGTTTATTGGAATCATGGCAGCTTATACAAGATGCACACTATTTTTTTTTAAAAAAAGGGTTCTGTAAATTTAATCGAGTAAAAATGTTCTACTTACGTAAATACTGTTGTGGTATTTCCCTCGATGTAGTCGAACAAATCGTCCAAAATACCAACACACAAAACAATGTAATTTTCATATTGAAAATAATAAAGACACGAAAAGTATCTATTGGAGAAACCGCCAATGCCTTGTTCTTGGGTCCGTTATATTTGCGTACTATCTCAAGAACTCTATCTATCCTGTCTATCACTAGGTTTCTAGAAGTCCCGCTTTATATACCCTGGAACCATCCACCCGTGCGGTGGTATATTCCCCTAAACTCTCGTTACCAAATAACATGACATAGTGGGCGACTTTAAAATAGCACACATTTTTGTCTAATACACTGATGAGCCGTAAGGCTCAAAGTTACATGTAATAAAGAATTTGAATTTTGTCTCATTCTCAGTCATACCAGTGACATCTCCTTTTTTTGTTATTCATTTTGATTTGCCTCATTTTTTTATTTCTTATTTCTGTACAATAATTTATTCTTTTAAGGTTACTTCTCAACACTGGAATTTAGACTGGTTCCCTGTCCTTTATCTGTTTGGCTCTGACAGATGACAACAAAGGTATCTGAGATACCCGTATTTTGCAAGGGCGAGGACCAGCCTACACTGGAATTGAGTTGGAAATATATTTTTCGAGAAAAAAAAATCTAAAGTCGTAAACATTTCAATATAACTTACAAACATTTTCTAATCGTTCATTTTTATGACCTTCAGCTTTATTACATGAATTGCCCGTTTAAAAACTAAATTTTTTGTTTGTTTGTTTAATTCTTATTCTTGAGTTGGAAAACATGTATTTATAATAAAATCTTTATTATGTGATAACAAAAAAAAATAATAAATCTGTGTAATCAAAACCTTTACGGTCTGAAAGTTGTTCATGGTACCTTGAAAGGGATAACGGATTTAAGGGATTTACGTAGTTACATGTATATTCTTGTCATTGTCGATGTTCCCGTTTGTGACTTAATTGCTATTGTACTTTTACAGTCTTAAAGCAGGGTCTAATAATGGATAAAAAATAAAGAATAGAGAATTCATCAAAATGACACAAAAATTAAAAAAAGAAAAGAAAATATAGTAGTGTGTTAACATTGAAGAATAGACAATTTTTGGCGAAAATTATAAAGAATGAAAAATATGGCAAAAAAAGAAAGAATACAGAAATGAATACCCCCATTCCAGACCCTCTTAAAGGGTAGATCATTATATTTCTTGGTCCAATCTTATTGTTGGTAACTAAAGGTCAAATGACAGAATGATTAATAAATATAAAGTGAAAAACAGCAGTTATCATAAAATAATAACGCAATCTAGTACTTGAGTCACATTAGGTCCTGTCCAAACTATTGGAAAGAAATGTCCATTTATGTCATTTATTATTTCTATCTCACATTTTTTAGGGCATGGGTAGGATTTACAACATTAAAGTAAATAGACCCCCAAAATACACAAACAATAGATAGAAATAGGATAACTAAATATAAAGAATTATAGATAATAATTGACAAAAAAGAATTATGGATTGAGAAAAAATGGTCTAAATATTAAAAATTACAGAAATGAATACTAGTACCCAATAAAGACCCTTATTTTTTTCTGCATTTTACTGATATATTGACTTTTTTTTTCTGTCCGTCAGCATTGCACTTTTACACTGACAGCATGTTTTTTTTTCTTCAATTTTGTCTGTTTTTATATTAATTTTCCTTTACTGGTTGCTGTCATGTTTGCATAAAACCACACTTGTCCTTTTTATTAACTGTTTGAACAGTTTTTGTCGAGCCTGCGACTCTTGTCGCAGAAAGCTCGACATAGGGATAGTGATCTGGCGGCGGCGGCGTTAGCTAACTTCTTAAAAGCTTTATATTTTAGAAGGTGACTAGATCTGGATGCTTCATACTTTGTATATAGATGCCTTATGTTACGAAGTTTCCATCAGTCACATGTCCATTACCCTTGACCTCATTTTCATGGTTCAGTGACTACTTGAAAAAAAAGTTAAGATTTTTTGTAATGTTAATTTCTCTCTTATTATGAGTAATAAGATAACTATATTTGGTATGTGCGTACCTTGCAAGGTCCGCATAGTTTTCACTTGACCTCGACCTCGTTTCATGGATCAGTGAACAAGGTGTAGTTTTGGTGGTCAAGTCCATATCTCAGATACTAGAAGCAATAGGTCTAACATATTCGGTGTATGGAAGGACTGTAAGGTGTACATGTCCAACTGGCTGGTGTCATCTGACCTTGACCTCATTTTCATGGTTCAGTGGTTATAGTTAAGTTTTTGTGTTTTGGTCTGTTTTTCTTATACTGTATGCAATAGGTCTACTATATTTGGTGTATGGAATGATTGTAAGGTGTACATGTCTAGCTGGCAGGTGTCTTCTGACCTTGATCTCATTTTCATGGTTCAGTGGTCAAAGTTAATTTTTTGAGTTTTGGTCTGTTTTACTAATACTATATACAATAGGTCAACTATATTTGGTGTATGGAAATATTTTATGATGTACATGTCAGTCTTGCAGGTTTTATTTGACCTTGACCTCATTTTCACGGTTCATTGCTCAGTGTTAAGTTTTTGTGTTTTGGTCTTTTTTTCTTATACTATAAGCAATATGTCAGCTATATTTGTTGTATGGAAGGATTGCAAGCTGTACATAAAATTGAGAATGGAAATGGGGAATATTTCAAAGAGACAACAACCCGACCAAAGAGCAGACAACAACCGAAGGCCACCAATGGGTCTTCAACGCAGTGAGAAAATTCCGCACACGGAGGTGGTCCTCAGCTGGTCCCTTAATACAATTGTGTACTAGTTTAGTGAAAATGGACGTCACACTAAACTACAAAACATATAAATGAACTAAAATTAAAAAACATACAAATAGTAACAAAGGCCAGAGGCTCCTGACTTGGGTCAGGCACAAAAATGCGGCGGGGTTAAACATGTTTTGTGAGATCTCAACCCTCCCCTATACCTCTAGCCAATGAAGAATAAAGAAACGCATATCAATACGCACAGTAAAACTCAGTTCAAAAGAAGTCCGAGTCAGATGTCAGAACAGGTAACAAAAGAAACTAAGCAAAATGACAATGATACATAAATGAACAAAGGACTACTAGCAGTTACTGACATGCCAGCTACAGACCTCAATTAATGTCTGCCTGGCATGGTTCATCTGACCTTGACCTCATTTTCATGGTTCATTGGTCAATGTTTAGTTTTCTTGGTTAAGTCTGTAGAAACAATAAGCAATAGGTCAACTATATTTAGTATATTGAATGATTGTAAGGTGTACTTGTATTTCTTAATTGGTTTATATGACCTTGACCTCATTTTCTTGGATCATGTTAAGTTTATGTGATAGTTGTAGTAAAGCTTTATATTTAGGACTATCAACATAATATCAATGATTAGTAAAGAAGGTGAGACGTTTCAGCGTGTGCACTCTAGTCAGGATTTCAACACCACCACAGTGTGTGCCTGTACCAATTCAGGCAATCTGGAGTTTAACACCACCACAGTGTGTGACTTTACCTATCCAAGCAATCTGGAGTTTAACACCACCACAGTGTGTGCCTGTACCAATCCAGGCAATCTGGAGTTTAACACCACAACAGTGTGTGCCTGTACCAAATCCAGGCAATCTGGAGTTTAACTTGACACCACCACAGTGTGTGCCTGTACCAATCCAGGCAATCTGGAGTTTAACACCACCACAGTGTGTGTCTGTACCAATCCAAGCAATCTGGAGTTTAACACCACCACAGTGTGTGCCTGTACCAATCCAGGCAATCTGAAGTTAAACACCACAACAGTGTGTGCCCGTACCAATCCAAGCAATCTGGAGTTTAACACAACACAGTGTGTGCCGCTACCAAGTCAAGCTATCTGGAGTTTAACACAACACAGTGTGTGCCGCTACCAAGCTAAGCTATCTGGAGTTTAACACCACCACAGTGTGTGCCTGTACCAATCCAGGCAATCTGGAGTTTAACACAACACAGTGTGTGCCTGTACCAATCCAAGCAATCTGGAGTTTAACACAACACAGTGTGTGCCGCTACCAAGCCAAGCTATCTGGAGTTTAACACCACCACAGTGTGTGCCTGTACCAATCAAGGCAATCTGAAGTTAAACACCACCACAGTGTGTGCCTGTACCAATCCAAGCAATCTGGAGTTTAACACAACACAGTGTGTGCCGCTACCAAGTCAAGCTATCTGGAGTTTAACACAACACAGTGTGTGTCGCTACCAAGCCAAGCTATCTGGAGTTTAACACCACCTAAGTGTGTGCTGTACCAATCGAGGCAATCTGGAGTTTAACACAACACAGTGTGTGCCTGTACCAAGTCAAGATTTCTGGAGTCTAACTCCACCACAGTTAGTGCCGCTGACGTGTACCAAGCCAGACTATCTGGAGTTTACCCCACTACAGATTGTGCCTGACGTGTACCAAGCAAGGCTATCTGGAGTTTAACAAAACAAAGTTTGTGCCTGACGTGTACCAAGCCAGGCTATCTGAAGTTTACCCCACTACAGTTTGTGCCTGACGTGTACCGACCAAGGCTATCTGGAGTTTAACCCCAATACAGTTTGTGCCTGACGTGTACCAAGCCAGGCTATCTGGAGTTTAACCCCACTACAGTTTGTGCCTGACGTGTACCAAGCCAGACTATCTGGACCATTTACTGTTCGTTGTGGTAAGCATTTTTTGTTTATCCTTATACTTTTTTCGGCGAAGACGGTGCTGTTGGTTCCAACCCCCGGTATCCCCCCCCCCCCCGCCCCCTGAATCCGCCACTGTTGTGGGCACTCAATCCCCTAACCCTGGACAGTGGTTTCACAGGACAACATAAGAAGTAACTATAAAGTGTGTATAGGGAGGGTAACATTTTGTCACTAGATTTCCCACTGTGAAAGCTAGTTCACAGCCAATTACGACTGATAAATAAGTTCTCCTAGACTTAACCAGTACACAAGAATCCAACGGTAGTATAAAGAGACTGAGAAACGTGTGACGTACCTTGTGATATGCAAAAATATAAGTAAGCAGTATCGACAGGATGTAGGGTCACGAGTTTCATAACTATACATATATAGCAATATATATTTAGTTATATTTTCATTTTTCAAAAGCAAAATCAATGTTAGAACTGATTAAAACACTATTTTAAGATTTTATTACTGTGTTAAATTGATAATCAGTTTAT